AGTGATATTGCCGCCTCCACCGCCGCCACGGCGCAGGGCGCTGCTCATTCGGCTGAATAAGGATGGCTGCTGTACGGGCGGCTGCGGTGGTACCTGGCTGCCATCATGATTGCCCGCCTCAGCTGCGGCAAGCGAAATATCCGAGCCGAGCTTGGCAACGGAAGCGATAGCGACCGCCGTCGTAGCTTTGTCTTCAATGTAATTAAACACGCTGCTGCCCGAAACACCCTGCTCATTGCCGTCCTCATCCTCCGTAGCCGGCGGAACGAAATCAACCGACTGGCAGTCTGCCACAGAGATTTTCGCTTTTGCAACGCTACGACCGCGGCGCTTGATGAGCTCAATATCGCTGCCGCTGCAGACACCGCCACCTCTCGCAAGGGACTCGGGAGGTGTGTGCGCCTGCGGCGCCGGCGCCTGCGGGGACGGCGTCTGCGGGGACGGCGTCTGCGCCGCAGCAGGGCTCCGTGGCGGCTTGGCAGGGGCGACTTTAGCCGGCTTGGGTGGCGCCGGTGCAACATTAGCGCCGGCGCCGCCAGTGGCAGCCATATACTTTGCCTGCTCGTGCATGGCCACGGCCTGGGCGGCATGCATACTCAGCAGGTCTTTCGAAGTCGGCAGAGGACTGGCGGGCATTCTGCTCTCATCCAACTGGAGGCACACCTGACGAGGTAACCAAAAAAAGGGTGCGCAGTAAGGCAACGAAGCGTTTTGTCGTGGGCCATCTCACGTCATACATCGGCCCTGAGTAATCCACACAACCTCTTCGTAAAGGTGCAGCACTGCCAAAAATCCTAACAACAAAACAAATTACACGAGCGAAGAAATCCCGACGATACCCTCAAGGATGGCGCGAGAGCGCAGAGCATGGTAGCAGAATTAGGTTTTACATCAAGTACTATATTTTCCCGAACATCGCAGCACTCACTACCCCTGGAGTAGCAATTGGTTGTGCGCTTTCATTTACCTAGCTGCAGGCTTCAAATCGTATACGTGCTTTTGGCTACTTGACAACTCGCGGTGACAGTAATCTTTCCCCTTGTGCACCAGTCGCAAAATCCACCTGTGTGTTCTTATTACTAAAACACCATCGCATACCTTGGATGGCTGCGATGATGACGGCAGGTCGCCCTGGAAACTGGATGGCCCCAGCGACAGACTGCTGCACCCACTCAAGCTGGTGGCGCTGCCGTCCGGGATGTTCGACTCGCTGCCGCGCTCCACATCGGCAAACGTCATGCCCGCGCTGAAGCTGGCTGCGCCGCAGCTGCTGGGGCTGCGCTCCTTTTCGTTCCCCTGCTGCAGGTTTGGGAAGGAGAAGTTGCTCAGGGAGCGGTCGTCTTGGTCGTTGCAGCCGGCGTCGCCCTGATCCTCCTCATCGCCGTTTTCACTGCGAGGCTCGCGTCTGCTGCGGCGGCAGAAAACGTATACAGTGACACCGCAGCCGCACAACAGTGCCAGTACTACTGCACTGCAACCCACGAGCACGCCAATGCCAGCCGATGTCAGAAAACTTTTAGCACCGTTGCTGTGGACTGGCGGTGACGGTTGGTCGAGCGCAGGAGAGGGAGGGAAAGGTGCTGTTATAAGCTGAGGAGGTTCGGTACTTTTAGGGCCCAGGCCCCGGCCATTATCGTCGATGGGGCGCGGTGAAGGCGGCGGATGCGGATGCCGGGAAGGGGGTAAAGAGGCTGGAGGCGGCGGGGTGAAGTCGCCCTCCTCCGTTTCTGAAGGCGGGCTCTCCAGGAGAACACGCGGGGATGGGAGGGGTGGTGGTGGACGAGGAGACCCGAAACGCGGTGGCGCCGGCCTTGGTGGCGGGGCGCGAGGCGTTGGGGACGGTGGCGGCGTAGGAGGTGAAGGCAGCGGCAACCTTGGACTAGGCAGCAGTGGCGACGGCGGCAATTTTGGCGCAGGGTTGGGAGGTGTTGGTGGGAGGCCTGGCAGTTTTGGCGGCCATCCTGGCTCTGTACCACCACGGTTTACTGGTGGTGGCGGATAAGCTACCGGGAGATCCGCCGGTAACTCATTGTCTCGTGAAGCTTGCGGAATCGGTGGCAACGGTGGTGGCGGAGGTGGTGAGCGCAGTGGGGTGCCGGCGGGGCCGCACGCCAGCGGGTCCCATTTCACAAACCCCCCGGGCTCTCCTCCGTCCAGGACGAACAGCGTGGGACCGGTAGATCCGCACAGCCTAGTTATTGCATAGGCGTTGAAGTAAGGCTGGACCACCAAGGCACGCTGCCTGCTGACGTCGCCCGCAGGGCACTCACCACTAGCGAGGTCCGGCAAGCACATTCCGTTTAGAATGGCGAACGGATCGTTCGAGAACTGGGAGCAAGCCGGGTTGCACACGTTTCTCAGCTTGATGACCACGGACAGGCAGGAGAAGACTCCCGAGTAGGCGGCTACCCCGTCGCTGTACTGGTACCTATACTCCATGCGCGTTGTGTTCCACACGAAGACGCCAACTGCGTTCCCCTCGTCCACCAAGGGATCGATGGGCATCGTTGCACCCGGCCGCATAACGAACGGGCACGCGAGCTTGAAGGTGACGATCAGGTGGTCCGCGGTGTCCTGGAACAAAGTCACACTTCCCCCTACGACACTCTTATTGCTTTGCGCCACCATACGATACGTGTAGGACTGACCACATAAGCCCTGGGTGTAATTGAGGCAAAACTTCCGCTCGTCGTAGAAGTTATCCTGGGTTGCCTGTGAAGATGGAAACATATGCAGGGGTATGTAGGTTGAGTGGCATAGGTTGAGTTCCGGAAACACACTAGGGGCCTCGGGAAGCACACCAGGGCCTCGGTCCGTCGCAGCGCGCAGCGCCACGACCAAAGAGGCCTCCCCAACATATAAAAAAGTCCCAGGTATAGAGAAGGCGGTACGTGAACACGACTGCAAGACCTGTGCATCGCCTTAAACTAGCCCAACAGCCTGTTTACTCAAGACAGCGGATGCAAACGTTATTAGGGTTCTTGACGAATATCAGTTACCTTGCATCCTTCAGGAGGAGGTGCTCTCGTGGCGCAAAAAGGGCAAGAACCACTAGCCACGGATGCGCAATATTCGTCCTTTCCTCCAAGCGTCGGAGTGGAGAAAGCGAGCACAAAGAATACCACACCGAAAATAGCAAGAATTTTGTTCTTGGCAAATATTGCTGCGCCTGGCCATGGAGCGCTGGCAAGCCGGGCGTGCGACAACTGTTTGTACTTGTTGTGAGGACTTAGCATCTCGACCCAAAAGCTCCGGACAAAGCCACCATGAGAGCTTGCTGAGACATAAGACTGGTTGGCGCCTTCATGAAGGCGCTTTTCCGAGTCTGCACCTGCCCTTCGGCGCCCCGCGCAGGGCGTAGAGGCAAGGTGGTATGCCGGCCGCGGCATCGGCCCCTCAGTTGCGCCTCATTCTGCAAAAAGAAACGACATGACTATAAGCCCCGACTAATCTGGCTGTATACGAGACCAAACCGATGCATCTGCAAAGCGCCCGTGCCCGCACGAGCGAAAAGAAAGAGCACCTTAAAGACGCACAAAACATTTGGCAGTAAGCCTAGGAAAAGGAAAGCATTGATGTACTAGGCGCAATCCTTAGCAAGGCGTCATTGTAAGCACGCTGGCACTCACCAAAGGGGCCCAAGCTTCACCTGCGCCTCAAGGTAAGATTTTCCTAGCAGCTTTATGAATCCGCAGTCGGCCAAGGCGCTGTCCAGAGCTTCAAAGGCCCAAGCCCTCAGATGGCTTGCAGCTTTCGACGCCCCTCTCCGCTAGGCGCAGACAGCAACCTTAATATCTAATCTAGTTCCGTGTTTGACGTATGCCGGATGCGCCACACGGAGTTGCGCGTAGGACAAGTGCTTGAAGTTACTCAAACAACTAGGAGGGCGGCTACCGGGTCGACATCTGTCGCATGCAATGGACAACCAAACACGACACTGTATATGCAGCACACTAACTTGTTGATGGTACCCTGGCAACCTGGATGGGTCACTAACGTTGCCGTATTAATAGCACAAGCATACCATGCCATGTGATCATGTGCTTTCTTGATGGGATTTTCCTGTTATAATTGAGAATTACACACTGCATTACAGATGCATACAGAAGTTACAGGATAGGTATGAGAAGTAAATGCCAGCCTGAGTGAACCAGCTGCTTCTACGACAGCGGTGGGCGCGTCTTGGAGCATTTCATTATCGGTACAGCATAAAATGTTGCCGGAAAGTAGACCTTCCTGGAGCTTGGTTGGTCTCTGTTGGGGATACAACCTGCCTTTCCCGTCTGCGCGCGTCTGGCGAAGCCAAGAAATAACTGCGGGTAAAAATAAGCAGGAAGGAATTGAAAACAAGATTAATTACATGTCCGAAACGGGCCGCGAGCGATTTTTCAAAGCTCAAAGTCCCTGGGCCTACACAGCCAAGCTGAATAGGGAGTGCGTCTCCATGAACAGGCTCCTTCTACTAAGCCCAGTACATTTAGCTCCTCCTGAAAGGACTGGCTAAGCAGCAACAACAGGTTTGCGTTCAGCCAAAAGTATCTGACTTTTTCCACTCAGCCCCAAGGTTGCCGATGCTTATGTTGGTTGCGTTCTTAGCTGCTGAATATGATTGAGGACAACGCATAACCTTGTGTGACTTGTAGTTCAGTAACGGCATGGTGGTTACCCTCAACTTATATGATGAGCCATGATTTGCGCAACATGTTTGCACTTGCCTAAATGTTCAGACATGAAGCTCATGAAGCGTTTAGTTTTGCGCTCCAAAAGCACACGATAAGTCATGGGAGCCGTGGCCCTTTTTTGCAACATGCGCAACCCGAACTGAGGTGACAACCTAAAGCGGCGGACATAGCCACCCTTCTGCACTCCTCCGTAATCAAAACAAAGGTTAACGCCCATCAAGTATTTTGTTGAATCAGGGGAACCTACTGGGGTTGGAGGCTACTTAATAATAATAAAGGGGGGCCCACCACACGTACTGGTCATCTACCAAATGGAGTAAAAACATCAGCAAGTTACAGTCACTCTGGTTAAGTAAAGAGGTTTCGACACACATGTCCTTTCCGGGCGCCGGCCGCAGTCATACCAGGGCTCGCAGGGCATAGCACGTCGGATAGCGGGATGAAATGGAAAGGTTGTCAGCAAGTCCAATCCTTGTACAGGTGAACGGGACTAACGAGATTAAAGAACCCATGCGCCAGTCAGGTCCGCTCAGCATCAAATTACACATGCCTGCAGGCATTCATTAGCTGGAACACCTGGATTAATGCCTCGGGAGCAAACATGGCTTGGGTGCATCGATGGAGACTAGTGTGTCGAGAGCCGGATCATCATTAAATGCGGCGATAAGGAGTGAACACAAGAGTGAACAGAACGCTCTACTTGCCATTATGCATGCGCCGCCTGTGCAGGACGAAGAACATTAGCAGGTAAAATGAAGATGGTTGACCCAACACATCGCACCCTGCCTCAATATGGCTAGAGACAGAAATTAGCGAACTGCATACCCACGCCATCCTCAATCTTTTACGCGACAGGCGTGCGGACCTTGGAAATTCAGAGCAGTCGGCAACATCACCGGAACATATTAAATATCACCGCAGAGTGGCAGTTCTCTCGATCCTTTACTCATAAATCCAACGCGTCCAACGGACGAACCGCCAACCGACAGATAGAAGGCCAGACGACCTGCTCCCTTCCGTTCCAATTACGCGACATACACTGAAACTGAGGACTATAACGCCCGGATTGACCCGCATGTCAATTCACAACAGAGCGCGTCAAGAGTAAAAAACGTATGATGACGATTCATGCCATTAATAATACCCTTTTTCCTTTCTGTGCTTGATTCCATAAGGTTATTACTTTATAGGCGGGGATTAGCCTAGCCAGCACGCGAATATGGAACCAATTAGTTTCCCAACAAACAAAACTACCAATAACGGCAGGAAGGCGAGGGCAGAGGTTAAATGTGTAGATGCCGAGGAACGAAGAAGGCAGGCCGCCCTACCATTTCAATCCATGCTGCCCCGTTTGCTCACAATCCTCTCTGCATAACAGCCATGCCTGTATCAGGTAAACCAAAATCACCTAGTTATTTAATTTAAACAATTTGCTAGCATGGCGCCAAAAGGCAGCAGTAGCCAATACAACACTGATTGAATGGGACGCCATTCCAAGCCAGATAGTGTGGATTCATCATGGGCGGTTGCACAGCCCCCTTCATCACCTTCGCCGCATCCTGAAAGCAGGATCACAGGAGCCATGCCCCGGCAACTGCCGCAAGATATCCAGTAGGGGAGGACGTCAGCGTGCTGCTGCCGATAACCCCCCTCTTATCGGCGTTGAACATTGCAACGCTAGAGAGAGCACAATCCGATTTCAGTCCGTTGCCCACAAATCAAAGCTAATACCATCCTCCCAACCACTACACAAGACTCCCCGCCACACTCGCGATACGTGCGTGCGGCGCCAAAATCGCGAAACAGGCAAATCCGCAAACAAGCACCAAACAAGCAAATCCGCCGTCTATCGATTCTTGTCACCGACAAAACAGCGACAAGATCACACAGCAACTGCACCCTGCAACCTTCAGTTTTCTGGCATGCAAAGCATGCCATTTGGTTGATGGCTGTTCGATAAGAATTGCATGACGCTGGTTAACACACCATATAACCTCAGTATCGAGACACCACCTCACTTCGCCGCCGCCTTCTCCTCGGCCGCCTTCTCCGCCGCCCGCTTGTTCCAATAGTCTTGGCCAAGGCGCCACATAACACTGAACATGATGCCCTGCGGATGGGAAGGTTCAAGAAAACTCAATCATCATGGCCATCATTATATACTTTAATAGACCAACTTAAAATAAGCAACATGATCGAGGCACAACGCGCTTGGTCAGCATTTTTAGTCCGGATCCACGCGGAGCCTTACAGGAACTGGAGCTGGGGAATGTCGGTATTCCTTCTCAAGCTGCTGCTGCAGAGGATAAGCAGTAACCAAGCCTCGTGGACACTAAACCATACGACGAACAGTGCAGGCGGGCGGACATGAAATCGGTACAGAAGATTGAGAAAAGTAGATAAGAGGATGCCTCATTTCTTTTGGGCGGGGCCCCAGCGCGAAGCGCCCAAGGGGGCCCCCGCCCTGTAGGATTGTCCATGTCCGTGTGGCCGTGTGTGAGTAACGGACCGAACATAATATCTCGCCAGGCTGAAACGCGTTATTGGTAATATATTGCATTCTCTATTGCAAGGTATCTCGCCTGTAGCCGACAAAAATCGTATGAGCACAAACTACTTTGGCTGCCACCATTCACCGAGGTCAAAGTCTCGTCGACGCCTCTCGGGCTAAATTTAATCTGAAAAGGTGCCGCGTATTGAATTTTGAGATGACGGTGCATGATAACTTGAACACCCAGCTTGTCTTACAATTTGCCCGCACGGGCATTCCGACTTGCCACCAGCAGGCCGACAAATTTGCTTTCATTTCTCTATGAAAGACGCAAGCTGCTCGTTTCTACAATTACTTTGGCCAGTGCTCGAGGCCTCCGAAGAGTTGCAGTGTGCCGCGCAGCTGTGGGGTGGATTGCTGAAGCCGCTGGCGCTTCGGGGATAAACATCATACACAGCACCGGAACGTGCTGCGGGCTTTGGTGTGTCGAGCTAGGCTTTGAGGGGGGCGCCAAGGGCGCGTGAGCAGGCGCCCGAATGGGCAGGTCAATGCCTGAAGGGGCGCCGTAGGCAGTGTGTACGGTGCTGTACGGCGTTGTTTTCCGTGTGTGTTATGGCTGCGGCACCAGACCGCAAAGCCAACAGGCTGATGGCTGGCAAAGCTGCGATTGCGTCTGCTGAGCGTTGAGCATCCGGTCTGGACCGCGGACTTGGCGGCCGAGCCCCTGCTGTGTGCCGGTAACGGCACCTTAGACTCATACGTCTACGCCCAAGCAAGGGGCTGTCGATGGCAGGTCGCCGACCTCCCGACTACGTGCAATGACTCTTAGCCGTGTCTGCTAGGTTCCAGAGAGACACCGTCTCTTCAACAGGTTATGAGCCCCGGCTTCCCGCCTCCCGCGCTCTGACAAGCATGCAGGGGGCGCCGCCCTTTTTCCGGCTTCGAGGAAGCCGACACCCGACTTGTTGCCGATGTGCCACACATCTGCATTGTCGTACGCACCTGGATGCCGTTGGTGATGATCTTGGTTCCCAGGCCGCGCAGGAAGAGCCCGCTGGGGCCATCCTTCTTAAGAATCTCCTGCAGTTGGAGGCAATAACAGAAAGGAAAAGACGTTGCCCAACTAAAAGTTAATTCCCAATTAGAGTAAGGCTCCTCAAACTTAAACTTCTAGGGTGCCGCAAAACCCACTACTCAATCCAGATAAACAACAGGTATCCATCTTGGCAATCACGTTCTAAGTTCCTAACCCCCGTACATTCCGCTCTTTCGTTCCATATTTTTGTTTGTTCCCACCACTCTCCAACAATCCATACATGCACAAAACCCACCTTGATCACCTCCCCGTAAGTCATGGGCACGGTGGCCGTCTGCTTCGTTGTCTTGACCACACGGATCGAGTTCGAGCAGCAGTCGCTAACAAACGATGAACAGAAGCCAATGAAAGCTGAGCGCAGAAGCTTCTTTGGCAAATCTTCGTCGTACTTGGGCAGCATCGAGTTCAGCGTGTTGTACGTGGCGAACCAAGGGTAGTGGCCCACAAAGGTCGCGGCCGAGGCGGCCAGGGCGCCATGGAACAACACAGTGGGCCCACCGATCTGCACCTTGTGGACCAGAGCCTTGAAGCCGCTTTTGCCCTCAACCTGGACAGGAAGCAGGCAAACAGCTTCTTCGATGTGGGTTTTCAACTGAGAGAACAGCATTGTCGGTGGCGTGGTCGTAGAGAGAAGTCAGTACCGGTACGGCGCATTATAGTGACCCCTCGCCCCCTCGTCCCGGATCACACGATGACGCAATCCCCACGTCCGAATGCTCTCCAGCTTCTCCTGTCTATGCACAGCAACAACGAACCTGCAAGATGGTCTTGCAGGCATCCACGGGCATTAGGACAATGCGGAAGGCACCAGCAGCTAGCGAAGCCGCCAGGGTCTTAAACGCCACCGGCATGTCAACATCCTCCAACAGGGCTAGCATGCCTGTGTTGGCTGCTGTGTCGCCGAAGCGAGACAGCGGACCCTGCGAGTCGCGGAAAAGTGGACGTCAGCGGGGTTAAATAAGTACATGAACTTCTGAAAGCATGCCTAAATGACATTCCATGAAGATACCCGAGTTTCCCGGGCACAAACGGCCCAGAAATTGCCATGCGAGTTGTTTGGGCAAGTGTGACACAAGGCTTGTGTCAATTGAGAGGCGAATGACTACTGCTTCTATCGCCCGTGTTATGGGGTGAAACAGTTGAACAGGGCAATGAACAAGTGGTTCCGTAAAGCAACATAAAATCTCTGCACGTTTAGCGTAAGTTAAGCATGGCCAAAAGCATACATGCACCAAGCCAATAATGCACCTGGATCAGGGCAGGCAACAAGCCCTGGTAAAAGCGCGGGATGCCGCCCTGCGCGTACAGAGTCTTCAGAGCCTCCATTGTCGTCGTTCCGTAACGGTACTGGTAATTGATTGTGGTACGCAGCCACATCAGCGATAGGACCTGGATGGCCATAGCAACCATGCCAGGGACACCACCCGACAGGGCCTTCTTCCCGGCAAGAGAGATGACCTCTCCGATACTCTTCTTATTCTGTTTCCCGGCCACCGTGCCGGTCTCCTGCTTTGGTGCTGGTTGCGCAAGGGTCACAGCCGCAAGACTGAGACTTGCGAACGGAGCCGCTGCCAAGCGGGAGCGCGCGATGGCTCGGCGGGACGCCAGCTTCCGACCCGCAACGGCTGAGCCACGAGTGGTGAAGGAGCAAGGAGCAGTAACAAGTGGTTTGCTCATACAAACCACTGTCGGTGCATTGCACTTTAGTGCCTTGCCCAGGCAAAACTGCTCGTTTCCATTGTCCGTGGAAAACGCGAACTGCGGCTGGAACAGCGTCACAGCGTGAGTAGAGCTCATGGAAGCCATATTTTATTCAGCTTTAATTTGTTAATTTGCTTAATAGAGGTTTCGAGGATGGTATTGCTTAAAACTCGCACATATTGCAATGAACCGTACGATAAAGTCGGCGACCCCAAGAAAGGGGTCCATGCGGTCGCACAATGAGACGCTGCACAACGCGGATGATTATTGCATCAAGCAACGTGCTGGTCGGTGTGTCGATCGTCGAACATAAATGCTTCCTCTCGGGCTCCGGGACACCGACGATTACCGCGCTTCCGAAGGGATAATACACTAGACGCACAGTGGTCAGGTACTCATATGTGCTGGGGCACACAAAGCTTTGGATAATAAGCATATTGCCAAAGTTGGGCTGACCAATTATGTGGCAACTGTAAACGGAGTTGACCAGAACTCTAACGGCAGATCCCGGTTACATATTATTGTTACATACCACAAAACATTCAGCCAGCAATGAGCTGTCCACTTGTCATTATGACCATCCTGCACAAATATCCATAAGACGAGCGCTCCTGCGCTGGCACCGGCGGAGAGTGCATTATCGCCACTATATCGAAACAATTGAACAAGTACTAACGAAAGCAAGAGATATGTAGGAGCTGAGCATAGCCCGCATTACTAGGCTAGTTATGAGCGCGGACCAAGGAAGTTCAAATGCTCAATGGCACCCAGCACGCAACCGACGCAGCCACGTTTAACCGCATCGTCAACGTTAATACAAGATGGCTTGCTTGATGATCAAATCACCAACTGCTGATTGGGGGATATATATAACGTGAACATCAGCATATACAAACCCACAAAGCACAGCCGCCTTCCCCAACACCAACCAGCTACACGACAGCCAAGGTGGTAAAGTGATAAACCAGTTACTGTCAGGTTCTGCGCACTTAACAGCCAACCAATTAATCTGTGCACCCTATAGACACACCTTCTTTAGAAGGACGGGGATCAGCGTTCCTTTCCGCCCCGCCCGACATCCACCACACATATACACACACATATACACGCACACACACACGCACAAAAAATCGTTCATGCTTCCATGATCGACAGCCCAGCCCACTTTCACGGCGCACTGCGCAGCTTACATATACCATGACACAACCCACTCCATACACTCCCATGGGGCAATACAGCGAGTGAATATAAATTTTGCAGGAAACGCCGTGTAGCTGAAATGTGTCAAGTGTTACAAGGTTCCGCATGGGTGCGGGTAAAACAACCCCAAGGAGCCCATGAGCGGTTATTAATATGGGGGCTATTGCGGCGAGGAGTGAGGACGAGCGAGGACGTTGTCGTTCCCCCACCCACCCCGCTCACCTGGGCTTGGCACGCCTAAGAAAGTTCATGAGGAAATAAAAGGGGGGCCCGTCAGCACAACTAACAAACAGAAACCAAAGCCTCTGCAGTGCAACAACTACAAGGAAGTGCGGCTGTGGGCGTACGACACCTTTGCCATATACAACATTATTTACCCGCGCGTCATCAAAAACTCCACTCTGAAAACATATACATACGCATACATACATGCACAATACGCATTTCCCGTGCGGCTCATAAAGAAATACATGCATGTCATACATGCACAGATAATATGGACCTCACAACCCGGGTCTTAACGAACAACCCCCACAGCCCCAAACCCACGAAACCGTTCTCCCGCAACCCTTCACAACACCCCCTCACATCGCAGGCGGCGGGATCACACCTCCAAATCGCTCCGAAACCACCGCCGCCACCTCCCCATTAGTGCTGCCGTCGCCGCCGCTCTGCCCCGCAGCCGCGCCCCCTCCGGCAACCCCCCTCCCCACGCCCTCCGCCTCCCCCCTTCCCATGGTCACACCAGCCGCCGTACGAGCCGCCAAGAAGTCGCCAAACCCGTTGGGGAACCAGCGCCTCGCTGCGGCGGCGGTCGAGGGCCGCAGGTGCAGGGTTCGATCCCTCCCCATTTTAGCCTGGGCCCGCTGCTCCGCTTGGCGGTGCATGAGCTCGTCAGCCATGATGGCGACCTGCGGGTTAGGGCGGTGGGGCATTGGGAGGGGAAGCGATCAAGGGAGGGAAAGGGGTTGGAAGCAGCAAGGGAACAGAAAGCACAGCTTGGCGAATACTGTATGTATGAATGTATGCATGTATGTATGACCGGTACCGCGGTACGGACACCAACGTCCCATCATCGCAGCGGCGGCGGCACTCTCTCACATTCATCCTGGCGGCTGTAACGGCATCCGCAAAGCCGACGGGGTCGCTGCTCCGAATCCGTACGGGACTGCGGATCACTTCACAGCCCGCCGCCGCTGCCGACGCCAAAGACGACGACGGCGCCAACGAAGACGACGCCACGACGGCGTGGGCGGTATTACCGGGATGCGTGCCGTACTCGTGTGTGTGGGAGCACCGCCGGGCCATGGCGAAGGCATGCGGTCCGCCGCCGCCGCTGCTGCCGGCCCCGACGCTAGCCGCCTCCAGGCCTGACGGCGCCTCCCCGACAACAGACCGTAAGAAACCTGCCGCCGCTGCCGCCGCGGCGGCGGATGAGGCCTCATCACCACAGCCGCTGCTGCGGCTGCCGCGCCGGCTGTTGCTGGCCGCTGCAGCCGCGGTGGGCGACAGTACGGACCCGCCGGCGGTGCCCTCGCCGGAGGGCCCCGCGTGAACCATCAGCGGGCTGGAGAGGGACGCGCGCTGTGGGCGTACGACAGCCCGTACAGACACGGCGAGGAGAAAGCAAAGCGGGATTGCGTAAGGGATGGAAATCAGGAACACCAGGGGAAACGCAGTAATCAATCAAATGAGCAGCAATTGCCGAAAAGTCCGAAGCAGCAAACCGCGGAGGGTTGACAGCTGAGAGGGCCAGAGAGACGTCAGAGGCATCAAGGAAGTGCAAACTCCTGCACATGTTGTAAAAGCAGGCGCAAGGCGCGTCCTACGGTTGCCGTACAAGCCAACACGAGGCCACCTGGAGGTGGGGTCACCATGCCTCACATGTTGCAGTCTTTAATGTCTAACTTACGACTCGAGAATCGTACGTTTTGAATTGAGTTGCCGTACAAAGTGTACGATCGGACTCACTTCGCCGTGCGACCCTAAAGCAGCCGCGGGATAAGAATGTTCGCGAGGCGGCGGCAAGAGAAGAAGGAGGGCGAGTTTTAATGCGCTGAGGATGTGTGTACATAACACTGGGGAGTTTAAGATCCAAAGTACGACAGCGTGCGAGCACATCATCTCCCCACCAGTTTGTTGTTGCCCTTCGACATCCCGTTGGTTTGCACCATGATGCCGCCGCCGCCGCTGCTACTGCTACTGCCGTACATTCCTTGCGCAACGGAGAAACGCCGGACGCCGCTGCCGTACTGGCCCGCCACACCCGGTGCTGAAACTGCCGTACTCGCCATCGGCCGCCAGGGTGCGCGCGGTGTCTGAACCAGGCCGCCCGAATGGGGCTGAGAGGAAGAAGCCCAACGGCTCACGATGGACCCTCCTCCTCCTCCTCCTCCTCCCCCTCCTCCTCCGCCGCCGCCGCCGTCGCCACCGCCGGATCCGCCGCCGGGGTTCGGCTGAGCCGCTGTAGCCGATTGGGAGGATTGTGTGTATTGGCGTTGAGGGTGTAGCTGAGCATGATGCTGTTGCTGCGACGGCGGATGTGGTTGGAGTTGAGTTTGCTGAGTGAACTGCAGAAATGGTTGTTGGTGCTGGTGTTGGGTTGTATGGTGAACGAATGCGATAGCGGGCTCAGCACAACCTGGGAGGCCGGGCATGTGTTGTTGGTTTTGGTGATGATTATGAACCACGGGTCGCTGGGAACCGCGGGCGGAGGCGGAGGCGGAGACGAGCCGGCGAGTCGCGGCGCTGCCGAGAGAGCTCGCGGCGGCGGCGGCTGCCGCTGCGACGGCTGCGATGGCGCTAACGCTCACCGAAGAGATAGCGCCGCCGCCGGCGACTGCGGTGGAGGGACGGCGGGTGCCGGCGGGGGGGGGCGTCGACGGAGGTGAGACAGAGGCGGCTGGCGGCGGCGGGAGCAAACCAGCCTGGTGCTCGGAGGCCGTACAAGCCGGGACCTGCGGCCAAGCAACAGTTCGATGTGCGGACGCGCCGCCGCTGCCGTCACCGCCTGCACCAGCGACGTGTTGCACGATCACGTCGTTCAGTACGGCAGGATGATGCGAATGAAGCGCTCCACTGGGCGCCGTCGGCGGCCGCGCCCGGCCAGATGGAGAGTACGGCGAGGAAGTGCTGCCGGCGCCGCCGTACATACGATTGGACGACGCTTGGCCGAGAGAATGGGAGTGCGTGTTTTGTTGTACATGTGCACGGGCCCGTGGGGCGCCTTCACGTGATGGCGGGGGGGTCAGCCGCTCAGGCAGCAGCAGGGAATGCACATTGGGGTCAGCCAGCCGGTACGCCGCAGTGGCGAAGGCCATCACCACTTGCGCCTGCGCCTCCGCCTGGGCGAAAGCCGCCGACGCGGCGGCGGAACCGTCAGCGGAGACCTGCTGTTGCAGCACATCGTCGTGCGGACTCGCCCCGCCGCCAGTGGTTGCTCCCAAACTTGCGTCGCCGCGGTGGGACGGAGACGCCGGCCGTGACGCCGCTGCCGTTGACGCCGCCTCCAGAGCCCCACGTGTCAATGGTTGTTGCGGAGGGAGGCCGTTTTCCTCTGATGGCGAAGCTGTAGCGCCCGCGGCGGCGGCGGCGGCGGTGGCGGTGGCGGCCACGACGGCGGCACCGGTGGGTGACGAGCACGTTCGGCTTTGCCGCCGGAACGGGCTCCTAGCGGCGCGGGAGCCGCTGCCGGACCTCGGGCTGCCGCCGCCGCCGCCACCACTCGTACATGCCGGCAGTGACGGCGGCTCCGCTGGCGCTACGGCACGTCCCACTACACACACCGGAAGCTGTGTGGCGGCCAAGATCTGTGGGTCGATGGTAGGAGCCGCAAGCGGCGGCAGAGGCGGCGGCGGCGGGATCCGTGACCCATGGGTCGATCCCCTCACCCCGCCGACCGGCGAAGTGCTATTGGTGGTGGTTACAGCCAGGCCGCTGCCACCGCGTAGGTGCGTCGAATTGGGCGATGCGGCCGCCGCTGCCGCAGCGGCGGTGGCGAACGCGCTGAGCTCCGTGGTGTCAGCGGTGTCTGCGGCGTCGGCGACGCTCGTGGTTGTGCTGAACGTGCTGAGTCTAGGACTGTGATCGGACGCCAGGAAAGGCGGTATTGCTACTGCCGACGGACGCTGCCGCTGCCGTCTCTGCTGTTGCTGCTGCTGCTGCTGCGGCGGCTGGTGCTGTAGATGTTGCGATTCGTTGTTTAGCAGCCTGCAACAAAAACCCAAGTCTCATAATACCGCATGTATAAGGACGGACGGATGGCAAGGAGGGTGTCCGGCCTATGTTAGGGGTTCACCTTTCAGGTGCCTTACCTGGTGCGTCCTGTGACCACCTAAGGGAGGTTAAGGAGGACAGCAGCTTCGGCGCAGCTAGCCCCGCACCCGGCTGTACATATATAGCCCAAGCCTAACTCCGATGGCCTGAACAGGCAACAGTCATTCAGCTACGGCTACGGCTGTAGAAGCGAAGTTATGAAGATAAAGGTAAGGAAGCAGCGCACCCTTCGGGTCGCAATGACATTGTCGTGAAGGGGTTAGAGACGGGACAGTCCCCCGCCGCCGCCGCGGCAGCAGCTGCTGCACTACCAGCGCCCTCACAGTCACCGTCGCCGTCGCCCTCCCAGGCACTGTCCGTCATCACCCCGGCTGCCGCCAGAAGCTGCCCTGCCGCCGCCGCTGCGCCGGCTGACGTGGCCACTAGCATCTTCCGCTGCTGCGCCAAGTAACGTGATGCCTGCGACCGCCGCCGCCATTGCCACGTCAGTGTACGACATGAGCAATGGAGAAAAAAATGAATAAAAGGAAAAGGAAAATGTCTCAGTCGGGTGACGCAAGTAACGGGTCATAGAGATGAGGAGCAGAAATGTCAGTCAGCTTCACTTCCCCACCGAGCAGCCCACATTAACACACGCATGATTTCTTCAGACGTTCTTATCACAAGCATTATCCTTGCTGTCGTACCCCCCCAATACACCAAGGTAAAGGTACTTTGTAGAAGTTCTCGAGTAAAACCCTCCGTCGAAATCATGGCTTATAGCGAAGCAGAGGGCAGAATGAGGGAACCGGAAGGAGCTGCCGCGCGAAGGAGAGAATCTTAAGAGCGCGGGGTGTACGGACAGCTCGTACATGGCCATTGTACGACAAATTATTCACCCAGTACCTACTTATCGTGACACAATACGACACGACACGACACGACAAGATACGACGAGAGCGAATGGGAACGACGGGCAATTGGGCGGTTTGGCACGAAAGCCGGTGTCGTACCTTTACCGTACAGTGTACTATTCCAAGGTACTCCATTACACGTTTGTGGGCCCTAAGAAAATGTCAAATGGTATACAGCACATGATGGACTGTCGTACACCATGTCGTACCATGTCGTGCATGTACTCTTCGTACATCAGCACCGCGCCGTCACCGCCTTCTCGGCCGCCCCCAGGCGAATGCTGTCCGACGAGGGCCTCGGCGCTCAGAGCCACAGCCGGAGGGGAACGGCCTCGGAGCTGCCCGTCCGCGTGTGTATGTATGTATGTGTGCGTCGTTGCATATTTGCAGCCAAGCGGATGGGGGAAGGCAGGGGCCGGTTGGGGAATCTTCAGTGTTGTCCTGATGACCATTAAAACTATCTGATAAATTAAATGAACAATACTTTATAATTATGTTAAAGATATTCTGACGTTTTTTTTAGTTTTGAGCGAATGAGCAAGGGCTGGCAGGTTGCCCATTAATTCGCCGCGTTAGTGAGGGCGTGTGCGTGATAACTGGGAAGGGGCCCATGACGGGAAGCTAAGGTCGGGTCAGGTCCGGAGCCCCGGAAAGCAGCAGCAGCCCGCAGCTCCATCCCACGCCAACCCCACGACGACAAAAACCTTTGCCACCTGCACGGATTGATTTCCGTCACGACCATCTCCCCGTACAGTACGGCGACTGTTACTCGTACGGCTCCGCCGCCATTGCTCCAGAGTAGCTGCGTCGGGCCGCGGTACACCGCTGTGAAAGTAGTCCGCAAGCGGGGAGCGAACACCTGTACGATGTGCATGTGTCGTACATGTCGTAATTATCGGATTAAGTAGACAACACCATGACATCACCACACTGTACCGCCGTGCCGAGGACGTGTGAGCTACCGTGGTTTGCTTAAGACTGGCATTGAAAGAGGAGAAGTTAAAAATGTTGAAATACGTAAGCAACCCTAAACAGTCAATATCGCATACCTGCATTATCTAAAATTATTTGTTGGGGCTGAAGTTGAAAATCACCCACGCTCCAGTACGGAATTAACAGACCAACCAACCAACCAACCAACCAACCTGACACGTCTATCCGATTGTACTGAGGTATCTTGAACGCCGTGTCGCGACGGCCGTCCGACGAGGGCGACGGCGACGGCATGCGGGAAGGATGACTGTACGGCGCTGACTTGTACGGCCCTGGCTGCGTCACAGGTGCCGTGATAGTGGCGGCGGCGGATGTGGATCGCGCGGGGAACGTGAGAATTGTAGGTGTGGCCAGATTCGTCCCCGCCGCCGCCGCCGACGCCAACGTTGCTGTATTACTTCCCGAAGTATATGGTCTGTAAGCTACGCCGTGATACGCTGCCGTCGTTGGCGGCGGTGCTGCCGCCAGCGTTGCAGCGCGCGACACCGCCGTTGGCGCCGCAGCCGTCGTTGGCGGTGGCAGCCGCGGATCTGGTTTGGGTCCAACATCGTACGGAGAAGATCTGCTGGTTCCGGAGCTGGATCCAGGAGGCTGGGGCCCTCCCTCAATCTCCAAAGGAAGCACACTTTGCTGCTGCTGTGGCTGCGGTGCTGGTCGTGGTGGTGGTGGTGGTGGCAGTGCAAAGGGGTGTGGCGGCGGCTGCGGTGACGGCGTTTGCGGGTACGGCGGTGACGGGTGCGGCGGCTGCGGGGGTGGCGGCGATGGTGATGGTGGCTGCGGCTGCCGCTTCAAAGTGCGAAACTTCTCTAGCAGCCGGGTGAAGGCGGCTTCGGAGCTTTCCAGAGCTTGAACGTCTTGAAGAAGGGTCTGGCATAGCAGCAGCAACAGCAGCAGCAGCAACAGCAGTAGCAGTAGCAGTAGCAGTAGAAACGTTGTTACATAAACAGGTATCGCCGTTTCAGCAGTGGCATTGACAAAAGCAGCAGCAGCAGCAGAATTAGGAGGATTAGTTCCCGGCGGCCGGGACGGGACAGGAGCAGAGGAGAGTAGAAGAGTACACCACCGCAGGGCGCGACCCCCTCACCGCCAGCAGCTCCTGGCACAGGACGGCCTCCGGGCCCCGGGACCAAGCATCCGCCAGGTCAAACAGAGAGTTGGAAAAGTGCTTGAAATCCATGTAGGGGAGTCCTTCATTGTCGTCCAACCAGTCCTCGGATGGGTCGTATTCGGGATCCGCTCGGATCCCGAAACGCGGCAGTAATACCTGCGGGGAGGTACAGGAGGTACGGAAGCTGCTGGGGGCGGTGCTACGACGGCTTTTTCAATGTCGTACCCTACCCTACCCTACCCCAACACGCCATCACTCCTCACCACCGCGTTGACCACCCAGAACACCAACACCTGCGTCATCCCTAAAACCGCACTCACGCAATTTCCCCTAACACCCACCCGGCACATGGAAAGCCCCCCACCACCCCAAAACAGTTTCAACGCCACCATTCCGTACCCGGCACGTCCGCCCGGCCCAAAACACACATACTTGGATATACATGCACATATACATACATACATACATAAATACATACATACACTCCCAGATAAAATCCGTCAACACCCCTTTGATAGACCCACCCAGGTAATTACCACCACCATGGCGGAGTAGATGGGCTCGTCCAGTACGGCAACTTGAAGGCCGACGGGACCTCCTAAAAAACCGTTGCTGTTAGTGCTGGCGGCCCCCCCGACGGCGGCGGCTGCGTCCTCCCCAACCAGCAGTTGAGCAGATGAACTGGCGGGCGCTGTACGACTGCCAACAGACAAGCCAGAAACTCCGGAGGGCTCTTCGACCCCGGACCCGCTTTGTGCGCCCGAGTTACGGAGGTGCTCCTCCTGCATCTCCTGCTCGTCCTGCGCCTCTTCACCATCCCCCGGGGGCTGGTAACAGCCTCCGAGTGCCTCTGCCGCCATCCCCTGCCCTTCTGACCCCTGCTGGTGCTGGGGAAGAGGGAGACGCGGGTCGCCACCTCTCTCATCCCCCTCCGCCACCGCCGAGCCGGCCGCCGCTGTCACCCCGCCGTCGTCACGCCGGCGGTGAGATGTGTCAACCGCTTCCGCCGCTTCCGTTTCCGCCGGAAGAACCGACCCATCCACTACCCCGCCGGCTTCCAATTGACGGTCATCGACATCCTCGACGCCCTGATACGGCGAAGCCGGCGGCAGCGGCGGCGGTGGCGGCGCCGCCGCTGCCACTACCGCAATCACGTTCGTCTGCACCTTTGGCAGCCACTTCCACCAGTTCCGTATCGCCTCAACGACCCCCGGGTCGGTTCGGTTGGCGGCGCGGCGGCGCAGCGCCTCCTCATTATGGCAGCCGCTGTCGCCCTGTTGGCAGTAGTTGATGGCGGTAAGGTCTCGGAGCTGGTCAACTACCAGAGCTACCTGTAACTCCCCGGGGAGCACCTGAGGGGATGTTAGTTTGTGAAAGTCGGTTAATTGTCGGTTCACTGGTTCGTAGAGAGGTGGGCCCAACCTCATCTGACCGCCATGTTTACAATCCCCCACATTAGGGTCGCCCGGATCAGCACCCGCTCATCCCCAGGGGGGGGGAGGGCCCCAGGGGGGTATCAGATGCAAATGGTGATGGGGTTGGGAGGTGGGGGTGTACGTGGATCCAAACCAAACCTCCGAGTCCAAACCCGCAGCTTCATGACCCCCCCAGCTTCGTCCGGCCACCGGAGCTCACCATAGCCCCAACATAGTCCTCTTTCCTCCGCTTCCCCCCACAATTCGACAGGATAGGAGGTTAGAGTCACGGGTCACACACACGCACCAGATCCGAGGTCTCGTGAGTCTGTCGACGGAAGGTCTGCTGTTCCTGACCAGCCGAGTTGGTAACCCTGGTGTACGGCAGGTAGGGGTAGTACGGCCGTGAACCTTGCGGGTGTCGGAGCAATATGTCCTATGTAAGACCCTCATCTGCCACCTCACATGATACCTTCCATGCGCTAACCTCATTCTGTCATGTGAGCAAGACGTATCATGGTTCATGGACCATTGTCACAGAAACCCTGTTTCATCCCATCTCCCGTGCACTCCTGCTTAAGGCCTAGAAGATGAAGGGGAAGCCCGAGATGTGCGATACCGCGGTGTTGGGCGGTGTCGGGTCTCGGGTGTCAGCGGCTTCTAGCGCTCTGGATGAAACGGAGCTTATACCACCACCATGGGAGCTGGGTCTAAGGTTTTGGGGGAAGTCCCAACCGATACGGTTATCAGTAAATATATTTATAGGATTTTTAATCAGGTGCGTAGTTCTGGGCCTGCGCGCACATGTTGGGCAGGTAGCGACCTGGACCATCGCAGGTGGACATGGCTGGCCGGAAGGCACGCACCTAGAAGCTGCGGTAATGACATTGGATGCGCGCGACCAGAAACCTTTAGCAATAAGGATAGCCGCTGATGCTAGCCCCCGCCGACGAGGAGCAGGCAGTGCCTGGACCGCGTCCTCAGCTTGCGCCCGCCGTTTGCTGTCATTTTCATCATCGTCAAGAAGGATTTGAGGTGACATGGTTAGAAACTACTACAGCCAAGGCACAGATTGAAAGAACATGTTCGCCTATGAGCGTGACGCAGCGATGCGGTGCAAAACTGCGGGCAAATGCTTATCAAAGATAGTGGGCTAAGTATAAAGTATAGATAGCGACCTCAATACAGGAAGATAAGTGCTAAGATGTAGTAAGGAGTGGCAACAGTGCTGACAATACGTTGAGCTTCTGGCCGAGTCAGTGTGCTGTACTGCGGAGGTTACGGAGAGAGTCTAAGAGTTTGCCCATAACTGTGCCGATGTGCGATCCAATGGTAAAATGTAAGACTCCCTGGCTGAAGCAGGGTTCCTGCTCCTGGAGCCCTATCCTTAATAGCCTTGGTTCCGATAGGAAAGAAGTGATGCACTTTCTGCAAATACCAAGCCATTATACCTATACTGAAATGAAAGGAATGGTTATGTTTTGTGCCTCGTGTCCTATCTCTGGCTAGACGGGGCGTCGAAAGCGGCTGGTTAAACCAACTGTGTAGGGCAAAATGTCAATGTCCGCCAATAACGCATCCGTTGAGGCAATTTGATATAAAACGCTTATGGCATTGTATTTTCCGGAGATTGGATGCTGCTTTTTCGTTTGGCTTAGAAGGATGTTCATGTTCATGTTCATGGTCGGAACTGCGTCTGACTACGTGATTAGCGACACACTGCTATTTGATTTAGTGAGGATGCACTGGCAGATTATTATAACTCGTAGATGCTTGAGGGGGCGCCCATCGTAGTAAGCTGCTCACAAACATCATACCGGTATGCTTCGACACCTTGTGCACATATCGGTTCAGCAATTGCTTGCTCTTCATCAATCTGATGCATGTTGGTTTCATGGCATTGAAGTCATGTAAGTCACTTCACTTGTCACGTCTGCATTGTTGGGGCCGTGCTGGGCCGTGTCTGTACGATTTGTTACAGCTGCTCCTTGGGACATTGGACTGCCGCCCAAGCGCGTGTCCAACACTGTATTGGTTCCCCGCATTGGTTCACGAAACTCACGTGGAGTATTGTTCAGCCAGCAGCCATTGTCGTGCGTGGTTGCTTGCTCCTGCAACCCCAGGCAACAGTTGGCACGGCGGCGCGCACGATGCCATCCAACGCCATTGGCTCCGTACCACTACGACCAAGGGAACCGCATTGTGGCGCGGCGGGACTAATCCTGACAACATTTGAAACCCCAATTTTGCATGCAACAAAGCAAAAAAAAACACAAACACGCAAACATGCATCTGCCGTACCATATCGCCTTCCGGTCAACCCCCTGGGGGCCACGGTGCCACAACATTGCATAGGTATAAGCAAGCATCACACATCCGCTCCTCGTGCCTATGCCGTACACGTTCGTCCCACCGCGTCGCCATTACCGTACGGAAAATACAATTTACAGTGCTTGTAGCGGCCACCAGCAAGAGCCTTTAACCAGGGGCCAACCAACCAGCCAACCACCCACCCACCCGACCAACCAACCAGCCAACCAACCAGCCAGTCAACCAACCAGCTAGTCAACCAACCAACCAGCCAGCCAACCAACCAGTCAATCAACCAGCCAGTCAACCAACCAACCAGTCAACCAACCAGCCAGTCAACCAACCAGCCAGTCAACCAACCAGGAGTCAACAAGGCAGCCAGCCAGCCCATGGGCCAACCAGTCCACAGACCTTAGACAACTAGGCAAATGGCCGAATGTCCCCAACAGGAAGTTGCCAAGAATTGAAATATCATATCCGACCTGAAAGGAAAAAAGGCAAGACATTGGTTACTCCTGCCACTACAGCTCTTGCAGCTCGCGGTTCTGTACAGTTCCGGCTCTCACCCACAACTTGATGGGTTCTAGCTAAGCCGCCAACCTGCCTCCGATCCGCCATGGACGCAGTCGAGCAAAGTAGTTTAGTAGATAGCCAGGTAGCCATTCAGCTAGGGCCCTAGCTCGGGTTCAGGTGGTCTGAAACGGCCGATGAGACCCGCAGTAACCCAGGAAGCGTTAGACATCCCCTGTTGCAAAATACCCATCTTGTCCCCCCATCTAGCTCATATCCGCCAAGTGACAACACAGCCCCATGCGCGAGGACGCTCACTCACAAGCACGGTCCTGAAAGGTGGGCGACGTCCGTCCGGTCACGAACCGAGTTTCACATCCTCACTTACAAGGTACAAGAAGTTCCACACACACGTGCGGGGGTGTCCGTAAAAGCCGGGGGGCCATGGACGTTGTATTGGCATTGATGCGGGTACGCGGGAGGCCTCATCATCGTCCTCCCACGTCCTTACATCCTTACTTGCTTCATTGTTTCATTGCACCAGGTCCTTTTCACACGCCTCTTGACCTCTCGCCAACCTGCCAGCCAGTACGGAACGGCACCTGTACGGCCTGGCCCCTATACGATGCCCGTAACTTTGCAAAGCCCAAGCTCCAAGGATGGGAAATACCCCCCGGGGGCAGCACGCGGGTCGCCCATACATGCCAGCAAGTGCCCACGGCACATGTGAAAAAGGACGTCTTGAAGGACCCCCGTTGCTTTTCTGTCACTTGAAGTGTGACACACGCATGAAGGCGAATTCGAAGAGAGCAGCACGACAACGATTTCCTTGTAGAAAAGACCAAGACGTGGTCACACCGCACTATGCCCGTTGGGGAGTGTGGCGGCGTATGGCGCCTGGCGGCGGTGGTGTCAATGTTGCCATCCTCAGCTTGAGGACTGACTGTCCAAGCTGTTTCAGAGTACGGTATGTACGGCGATTAGTAAAGTAACATAGATTGGAGTGTAGAAAGCGTGTGGAGGACTGAAGGCGGATGCGCCGGCGTGTGTGCCTCGGCTTGCTCCCGGGAGGCGCGGTGAAACCCCGGCTTCCTGCAACTCCCAACCGTAAGGAAAAACACACCAAGATAAATCCACCTCACGAAAACTGAAAAACGTATTTGACTTAGGCGCACAAGATGGTTATGCAATTATGTAAAATCCAGGCAATTCTTCAGTAGCTGTGTTAGCTTAGATGTAGCCAAGGGGGACACGAAAGGTAAGCACACAGCAAGAGAGGTGAAGCAAGTCACACTGCCGATCGCGTGGCGACCTTTCCAAACGCCTCATTAGTTCATTCACGTACACCGACCCCTGCGGGCCTTTCCTTCGGGCCTAGATACATTGTCGGGGTCAGGTCGGGGTGCGAGATCCCGTACCACCGGTTACCTGCTGGCGGGTTCTGGCGTAACCATCCAACCATTCATACATTCATTCGTTCATTCACTCACAATTTCATATAATTTTGTAAGGCCGCGCGAGATGAAAAAAGGCACAAGTACGGTTCAGATGCGACGACAGAAAACACATTATAAACACAGAAATTAAGCGCCTCCAGCTCTTAGATTTTTTGATTTTTAGGAAGTTTTGCGATCTTCGCCCGTATCACTGAAATCCAAATAAAAACGAGAAGCCCAAAATATAAATTTGAAAACTCGAAACCCAAGATCCAAAAAGGATATCATCACGGCACGTTCCAGCACATGCACCAGCCCAGCAAGGAGCAAGCCGTGCTTCGTAGTCCGCCGGTGTAGTAGCGAAGAGTGGTGGAGGTACAATTGGCCGAGGGCGGGCTCAGACCTGTCGCGGTGGTTGGTTGGCGACTCTGTCCTCCACCTGCAGTGGTGTAAGCGGAGCCGACCCAGGCGCCCACCACCTCCCCGGTAGTGGGCCCACCTTGCTCGGGTGGCACCTGGGAAGACGCCAGGGAGGGGGGGGAGGGCGGCGGCGCGGTAGCGGCGGCCGTGGTGGCGACGTTTTAGAGTGTTACTAGGCATGGTGGTTGCAGTGGTTGTGGCTATGGTGGTTTTGGTTGCTATAATAGTTGGCGTGGATGGTTACGAGGATGCCGCCCTTACCGTGGGTAAGGGATCTGTAATGAATACGGCAAGTTGTGACAAAGCCAATTACCGTACTGTACGGCCGGCGTGTCGTGCAACCTTTCGAAGGATGCTTGGCTGGAACTCCGTGGGGGATGTAAAATGTATACGTTACGGTCCCTTAGGCGGCGACTTGGGAGAATTCGGAGAGCATTGGACAAACAGCGCGCAGTGGCTCCCAGGACACAGGTCCGGTCCTAATCTTATCAGGGAATGGTTCAGAGAACAGGGATACCCCAAAATATTGCTTTTATGTTCAAACCCCTCCACACCCAACACACGATCACCTGCTGTAGCAAGGCCCCCCAGGCCGCCTCCAGGTCCCCCCCGGTGAGGTTGTAGCCTGGCTGCGAGCTGGCACCGAGCATAAGGCCCAGTTGGTTACATGACGACGCACAGCCCGTCGCCCTGGCTGCGCGCCGGAGCATCAGCAGCTGCCGGGCAGTGCTTGCGCTGCCGCTGCCGCCAAGTCGTACGGCAACGGCATTACCCAATATGGCAGCTCCGTCGGTTGCCGTACCATTGCCAGATGAAACTAGCGTGGCCATGAAAGCATCCAGGCCACGTGCACCCGGGGGCAATGCTGCGGCGGTGAAACACATTCCAAGCCGATCGCCGCTGCTGTCGTTACTACTGCTGTTACTGCCGCCACCATCAACGGAGTTGAGTGGTGGTATCCGTACGGCTGTGTAGGCGACGGTCCAGTTTCGGAGCTGGGGTGCCCCAATGGGCCAGGGGCCTGGTCCGTACGGAGCTGAGCTTGTGGCATTGTACAGCCGTAGGACCCCGTCCGCCCCTGGCAGTAGGCTGGCCTGCTTGTTGGTGACGGGGAGTGACGGGGAGTGACGGGGAGTGACGGGGAGTGACGGGGAGTGACGGGGAGTGACGGGGAGGACAGGACCCGCCGACCGATCGATAAAGGGGGGGACCAGAGCGGTGGCACGTTATTTACCGTACATGTGTACGAGGGAGTTAAGGACCCGGTGGGTAATGGGAATAATGCAGTGTGATGTATAATACGGTGGTAGCATTGAGACAGTGATATAAATTTTACCATCAATAATCCGTTCATCGTTCGCCGCCGCGGCCGACACCGTTTACTTATCGCCGCAATGTCGCTTTCGAGAGATGTCAAGTAGGTAGGATTCCTTCGCAGTGTTGAGAAGGCCCACTGCGGCTGAGGGGACCACTGACAGCGTCCGTCCTCCCTCCCTCCCGCCAACCTCAGGACTACACTGCCTCCCTGCCTGTCAGCATGTCTGTCTCTTTGCCTGCAACACCACCCAACAACCCCACTCGCGCAGCAGTCCACACACCCACACCCGCCTGGAACGTGGCAACCCGTAAGGCACCATCTTCGGTAGTGAAGGCGGTAATGCCGGGTGACTTGCCCCCCCGTGCCGAGGGCAGGAAGGCCAGGGACAGTCGGTCTGCGGGGGACAGGGAGGGAGAGGGCCGAGGGTGAAACCAAAAAGGGAATTTTCGGGTTTTAGCGGGTTTAGGGGTTTCCTGACTCACGGTGTTCGTGGCGTACGACCTTGAGCAAGGATATAAATGGATCCCCGGACGCCGTACACAGTACGGGACGCAACGGACGTGGCGACAATGGAAAGAAGTGGAACAATTACTTGCAAGGATTGAGGTGGAACCTTAGAAGATATACCCGGATACACGTATATTTCCGACCCGGCGAACCACAATCAACCAATACGCGTATGTATGTATGTATGTGTTTTACTTCTGGGGATTCGACTTTTAATAACCTTTAACCTTCCTAATGGCGCCCACCTGCATCCGGCGCCTCCAGCAACATGTGGTACGACCCTCGAACAGCTCCCGAGTTCGGGTACGATTGGGCGCACTGGCTGGCGGCGGGTGCTGGTGACGGAGGCGGTAAGGAGCTGGCCGCCGGTGAGGGGATAACGGCTGCCGGACTCCAATGAAGCGTCATGCCCTCCCCTAGCTCCAAGGCGCAGTCGTAGCCCCGGCTGGAGGGAAGGCAGCCGTCCGGCGTCAGAGGCGGCGGTGACGGCTGTGATGGCGGCGACTGCAACTTCGCTGGCGGCTGTGCGGGCAACAGGTTTAATGGCAGCGGGGTCGGCGGCAGCGGCAGCGGCAGCGGCGGTGGTGGTGGCGGTGGTGGCGGCAGCGGTGGAGGTTCGGTAGGCGGAGATGCGGGCGACAGTCCTGCGGGCATCATTGTGGGCGGCTGCAACAGCAGGAGCCGGAGGGAACAGGTACGGCAGTCCGTGCTTGTACGGCGATGTACGCGAGGGTGGGGGATAAGGGCTGAGACTACTACTACTACCTGGTGCATGTGGAGGATGTGCGCTTTGGGCCTTATCAGCCGTAAAACTCCTGAACAGGACACGGTTTGGGCTGTACCAGCCTCCTCAACAAGATGCGCCTCCTTGGCTGTATGCCATCAAAACGCCATATGCTATTGGTAAAGTGGCGGTGTCCTGGACAAGACACACTTCCACAGCACCCGCGCCACCAAGCAAACCACTTAATGGGTTGTAAGCTGTGTTTGCGTGTTTGAAGGGGGCTTAGGAAATGACAAATCGAGGGTTGGGGCTTTTCGTTACGAAAGACACCTATAAACGGCTTCAAATCGTTCGTGAAGGTGCAGAATGAGACAGAGCCTTTCTAGGCACCCTTGTAAGAAGGGACTGTCGTATGTCTCGCTGTGCGGCTGTGTTGCAAATTATCTCATCTGCAGGTGTACGGCTCGTCTATAGACGTTGCAAGCTCTGGCATTCTGAATGCGGCATTCCAGCAACTCCGCTGCCATTAAAGTGATCAGTGGCAAGGCCGCGAACAGGGACAAGCGGACACACCGGTCAGGTAGTCGTACACTTACGTACGGAGGTATCGCCGGTTGGGCGTTTGGAAGAACCGTCGGCGAAGGTGGCTGCAGGCGTGCCGGTTTCGATGGCGGCAGGTTTGGCGGTCGCAGCGATGGCAACGGTGGCGGCGGCTTGGGTGAGGGCAGTGGCGACGGCGGCGGAGGCGGCGGAGGTAATCGAGGTCTACGCAGAGGTGGCGGTTGGGGTGGCGGCGGTGGTGGCGGTGGACGACTTGGTTGCTGCGGCTTGGGTGACGGCGGTGGCGATAGCTTGGGGGAATACGGCACCTTCGGCCGCGGCGGCGGCGGTGGCCGTGGCGGCGGCGGTAGCGCCGGCGTCAACGGCTCCGTCCTTGTCACGGTCACTGACAGCTGCACACATAGGAACATAAGGCTCTGCTGGCAAGTGGCGGCGACGGAGGTCTGCGTCACGACAATCGCCAGTGGATCCACTCGTACGGCACCGCAGCCGCCCTGTCCGGCACCTGGGGCCCCTGACGCCCAGAAGTTCCAGGGCCGGCCGCTGTAGTTGCCAAAATAGAACATGGCGGCGGATATGGAGCTGTACAGCCGGTTGACGACGCCCACCTCCAGCGCCGCCGAGATGTCGTACCATTCCGCCAGCGACGCCACGTGCGCACCACCGCCAAGCGTACGGCAATGTGTATCGGCGTCGCGTAGCGGCACGCGGGTGCTGAAGAAGGTCCAGATGCGGTTGTCCCAGCGCTCGCGGACGGCTTCCAGGTTTGGGGGAGGGAAGGGGAGTCCAGAGGGAGGGGGTAGCGGCCAATGGAAAGAAGGGGAGTCCAAAGGGAGGGGGTAGCGGCCAATCGAAATAAGATTCGGAGTATGGGGCACCGGGACCGGCAATATCCCGAATAGCCCCACCGCGCACCCCCCGAGGTCCCCCCCAGGGGGTAAGGGAGGTCCGGGAGGCACTGACAGAATATGACGGTGCATGTGCAGCGACCCTTTTTCACAATCTGTGCATGGCAAACGTGAATCGGGCTCTTTATTGCTCAGTATCGGCCTCAAGACACCCTCAAGAGGCACCGTTGACCGTTAGGACCCCGCGGCTGTTCACCTTCGCAAGGACGCAACGGCGACAAGACGTCATGCCACGTCACGCGGCTGTTGCACTGATAATGTATGCGTGAACGGGAGAACAGCCGCTGTTTCCCCCCCCCCCACACACACACAAGTGGGCAACGCCGAAACCGGCGTGTTACGTGCACAACCCAGTGGCTGCCACATCAGTAGCTGTAGCAGCAGTAATAGCAGTAGCAACAACGGGATAGGCGTACCTGGGTTGGGGATTACGGGCGGCCGCGGTGGCGGTGGCGGCGGGCTGGGCGGCGGCGGCGGCGGCGGATCCAGGACAAAGTACGGCCCACTGCACATGTAGTACAGCGTCTGTGTACAGTTCACCGACGGCGCTGTCTTGACCACCCTCACCGTGGCTGCGTCAAGCTGTACGGCACCGCATGTACGACGGCCACTATCGTTGGCGGCCCAAGCATTCCACGGCCGCCCGCCATTATCGCCAAAGTTGTACAACGCTACCAGCATACCTACCAGGATGTCCCCCAGCTGTGCGCCGGTATGCATGTCGTCGACGGCTCGGGCCCACTCCGACTGAGTGACGAGGCGGGAGCCCAGGGCCTCGCAATTGGCGCTGGCTTGGTTAAAGGTGACGCGGGTGGGGAAGAACGCCAGCTGGTGCGTGCCGATCCAGTTATCTACACTAGCTGCGAAGAACACGAGGCGACGGCGGAAGAAGGTGCGGTGTGTGCGTGTACGGCATTAACGGCCGCGGAAGACGGACCACCGGTGCGAACTGTACCGTAACAAGAATAATTCCGCGTTTTGTGTCGACGCACGTAATGCCATATGTATCAGTATCGCCAGAATGCGTGACCAGTACGTATTTAGGGTTTATATACGTGCCAAGACTCAAGTACAGGTGGGGTGTGTTTCTATTGTACCCGTCCGAGCTGTTTGCGGGAAGGAAAAAAATATTATTTGCGGGCTATTATTATTATTCCCACATATGGCTTGTATGGTGTGATGTCCCGCCTTCTACCCGCACCAATGCCGTGGTACCAACCTAGCGGCACGACGGGCACCATGGCTTGCAGAGCGCGGGCGGACGGCACTGCCGTACGAATTGCGGTACACGCGTCGGCCTCGCAGTTTGGATCCAGCGGCAGCGACGCGGTGGCCCCCCACAGCTGCTGCTCCTCCTGGCTATCTGGTGTGGTAGTAGGTCCCCAGCCGCTGGTGACCCGGAATAGCACCAGCTTACCTGTGGCTAGTTCAGGCAACGTCTGATGCGCGAAAGCCTCTCCATCTCCATCTCCAGCCAAGGGGGAGGCTAAAGGAGCGACATCCCTTGGAAGTATATAATCAGTCACAAGCACAATGAAGGGTTCCACGCACCCATCGAACTTAAGGTTTTGCACCGATCCGTTTGCAATGCATTTGAGACAGTGCTGATGCATATATATGCGGGCGTTGCAGAGCCCAATTCGGAGCCAAACACGGCACCTAAGCACAAGGGCAGGAAAACCCATTTCGGACGCAGCCGAACCTGCTGCCGTTTTCTTTGCGCTGTCCAGGAAACCCCCAACGTCCTGTGTGGCTAGCCGTGTGTTCAGCCAGCCAGCTCACTTACCGGAAGCGTTGCAGGGCGCCTCGTAGGTCAAGGTCACTGCGCGAGACGCTTCCACGTGTGTGTAGCGATTGGGGCTGTGCAGGACGACGGTTGTTTCGGAGGAACCCGAGGTTGGGGATAGGAGGTAAGTGCCGAGGCAAGGTAGGTAATTGAGGACGCTAGCTGGAGGGGAGACTACACGGCCATGGAGAAATAATGAAGGAGCAGAAAACGGTGAAGGGACGTCGTGCGGCGGAACCAGCCAAGCCAGCCAGGCCCCGCCTAGTCTGGATCCAATCCCACCCACGCACCATTCTGGATGTCCGCCGTCAAAGCGTCCTTGACTGGCGGTTACCAGAGCATGTCGCGGGGTGGCGAACGTAATCTGACAGTGATCGGGTTGGGTACGTGAGTTATAGGGTGAGTGTTCGAATCTGGAACTCACTGGATTTATGCAATCAGCCGTGCGGTATGCTGGTTCCCGTGCCGCTGCCGCTTGGGTGCGTCTGCGGTGACTGCTCATAATACGACATCCTGGCCAGTGTCAGGCCCGGATCGATATGTAATAACAAACAACACATGTTATGTACGACATGAGGTGCCGTGATGAAGAAGGGGGCCCTTGGGGGTCGACAAGGCATGTGGCAATTTTCCGAGCGAGTGGAGCGAGTGGAGCACAAAAACAGCAGCGGAGAAGCCAGCAAACAGCAGAAGGTGGGAGAAGCAAACGCAAGCAAAAACACAGAAATAAGGAAGCGCTGAATTACACAGTTGTTTAAAGCTTCAGGAGTTGTTTCGCCCCTCACTTCCCTTCAGGGCTCAGGGCCTTTCGCAATCATGTCCATATCGACTAGTGCAGCATGTGACCTTTTACGGGAGAACATGCCTTATGAGTTCTTCCGTACAGCCCGTACAGCCGGCCTCACACGCCGTAAGAAGGTTCGTAAGCCGTGTTGAGGGAATTCATTGGGCTCGTGTATGCTTCACTGAGGATCTCAGAATTGTAGCTCTCGTGGCCGCTATTTGCTCAGCTTGTGGACTTATTGTGTCCTTCATAGCAGTAGTCCAAGTGCGCAGGTATGGCGAGCTGCAACCCTCTGCGCATGCCCACCCACAACCTAATGGTGCAATCACTGAGCTCCTATCTTTGCATGTTTTGGGCTCTCTGTAACAGGATGTGTTCATGCTGCTGAAGGTTTAGTTATGTGATGGTGCTGGCCTATTGCCGACCCAAACCCCAATTTGTCGAAACCAATTCATCCTTGCCCGCAAAATCATTGGTATAGATCCTGGCCAATCACCCTGGCTTCCCAAACTGATAGCCATCAGATCTGATTGCCAAGCTGACAATGCAGGACAATACAGTCGCCATGTAAGGTTCCAATGTACGGCACGGTTTTCGATTTTCGCAGGCACTCCTGTAAGGTGTTCACATTTTTGATTCAGGTGGCCGAAGCTTCTATGGAAGCCCTTGCATAATGTGCCGCCCGGTGAACAAACGACAAATTGTTTGTGAATGCAAAAATTGAGTAATCCTTGTAATGGATAGTCGACGGTAATATCATGATACAATGCAATAATGACCTAATAGCATTATTACCTTTAAATGGTATTGCTTTCCACTACAAAGCGCAACCACTGGGATTTTGCTGCCGCTGCCAGCAACAAAGGCAATGGATGAGTCCCTGTACAGGTAAACATTAATAGGGAATATGTCAACGAACTGCATCATGGGATTCTGGATGACTGTGCGTTCGGAAAGAGTATTGCTTGCATATAAAGCCGGCAATTACGAGTCTAGGCAAGTTTTCCTCTAAGCTTGCCTACCTGTCTAAGCGGATGCCATTGTGCCCTGAAGTTGGATCGCTGCCATGGATTAGACCTGTCGGGTGCCCGTCGCAGCTCGCAGATTGGCCCCAGGAAACAAAGGACGCCGATGACCGGCCAACTACCGCGACATATACAATATATTTAAGTAAAAGTTTCGGGAATGCCCGCCCCAGAGTCGTTGAAAGTGTTCGTGGTCTCCTCATTTATGACATGTTCGAGGGAGTCCTGCTAGAGAGTCCGTGCATAAGTCATCGGACATCACAATAAATATCAGTAAGCGTGAACCTTCCATAACCGCTGAAGTTGAGCTCGTTCGCGGAAAAGTACGCCTGTTTCTGGACGACGCCGATCGTTGGATGCATTATTCCGGTGTCAAAAGTAGCGAAATTTTCCGTTCAGTATAAATACGAAGTTTTATTCTCACGAATAGCCTGTATCCTCGGGCCGTGAAAGCACTGGCCTAGCGCATTGTGCTGAACCGCGCCCGCCTAGCTCCCGCGCACCCTCGCGTACTGCCTTTCGAATGTTTTGTTACCGAAAGCAAGCTGGACCGGCAGCTGTCCACCAAACGAGTGCAGACAAAGCTGAAGTACTGTAAGGTGGCGGCATGCTTAAGCTAAACGTCGGTTAGACTTCCAGTTCATGTCCAGTGGCAAGCGACGCCTGGTTGCCGCCACCACGGGGACATAGAGCCGACCTACATGCCTGGGCAATGCACCTTACTGTACACACCGCTGTGATGTCTAAAACCTGTGTGGTTTTAGTTCGCAGGGTTAGTTTTTCTGTCGCAGGGGTGCAGCGCCGTACCCAGCAGTCCTTTAAACCTGACGGGATCCATGCACCGCATGAGAACCCTAGGTGCCGTACTATACCAGCCCACCCCGTACAACGCTACATGTTTTGCCCTGCATGGATAAGCTGTTTATGCAAAACTCCCAGCGCTTCCCTCTCGAGGCTCCGTTCATGACATACATGTAAACCGTCTGTGTGCAGCAGTTTGGATTACGATGGCCTCGAAAAATGCAAAGGTGGCATATCTCTTTCACCGCGTCGTACAATTAGGTACGGCGACGACTGGAGCAAATGCTAGCCTGGTGCGGCAATGAATTCAGTTTGCCTTGGGACTCATGACGGCGAGTTCGTGGACTGCCCTACCGTAGTAGCGATTGAACCGGATTGAACCTGCTTGGAGTGGCCCGCTGTGCATCCCGTGCCGTCCATAGCTCCATACTTAGACGCAATCACGCACTTCCTTGGCTTGGGAGGGACAGGTTCATCAGCTGGCTGACGAACGCCGTGAGGTGGGGCTCTTTTCCAAGTCCCGGCCCCATCCATTGGGCGTAAAGGACAACATGGAGTTTCAACAAACGGCAACCCGGTACAATCAGCAGCAATCCTTGCAAGGAAGTCTTGTTTGCAAAGGGATATTATTGCAATTAAAGCATTTGTTCATGAAGAAGATCGCGCGAGTAGCGAGTCGTCTACTTTACATCGACAGCGTACGGCAGCAGATCCCATCGGCTAGAGCAAAGCTGGAGTTCAGCCATGCCATTCTGTTCAATCAATATAACCTTGAAACTTTGATAAAGATTTCCGGAATCACAACGCTTCAACAGAGTAGCTGTCAAAAAGCCTTCAAGGTCGAAGTTTTTATTCTAGTATTAATGCTTATTAAGTAATCATAAACGGTATGTGGAGTAAGTTCTTTTAAGCTTGATTTGTAAGACGCTGTATTTAACGCATTTGACGTCACCATGGCTTCAATCGCCTCACCGGGGATAATTCGGCGATGAACTTGTTTCAGAACTTTCCCGTTATGTCAATGAGTTATTATTTCGGGAATGTAAAGATAAAGATGAAGGCAATGAAGTTCCTTTCCAGCCTGACTAAGGGTGCATTTCCAGTGCGGATTAAGGCCAGGGATTAACCCTCTGTCCTCCATCGATACCTGCTCAAACGGCCAAGTTGTTGGCAAACTTACCTCGCCTTTTCAACCTTTGGTTCCCTTATGGAACAAAACTGTGTGGTAAGCTCGTACCAAGGACTTCCGTGCCCTAATCTCTGGCCTTAATCCGCACTGGAAATGCACCCTAAGGCCACAGGCTAAGGGCCTATTTCCAGTGCGGATTTCAGGTCCGAGATTGATGTCGCGTTAATCCAGCTTAATCCCCGGTAATCCTGGGCGCTCCCTGAAATTTTCTGGTTGGCGAAGGTAATATCCATTTCAGCGAATGGACAGGAGGCACGTTTTTCTCGCCGTACCGTTGTGGCCAGTGTGGTAATTAATTTTGCCAACATTTTTGCCTGTACAAACCGCGAGGTACCTATGAATGTAGGTTTACTTCCAATTAGCTTGTGCAACCCCACCTAGAGGGTAGGACACAAGGTCGGGGAGAGCAATTCTTGGACTGCCCCGGTCGCACAATTCCTGTGCTTCCCTAATTCGACACCCCGGAATGTCGGAATGTCCCTGCCAGGCCAATTCGCGTCCCTGTCAGGCCAATGCAAGGGCCTGTCCCGGCAATCTAACTTGTCCCGGGTGCATCCCCCGTGCCAATCTAAATCCCTGTACCGAGCAATTCGACCAATTGCGGGGTCAGCCAGGAAACTCTCAGGGAGGCCTCATCCAGAATCGCGGGAGTTGAAGGAACTTTATGAAACTCTGTAAGGGTAGCACTTACAAGTATCTCTCGTGTACTGTGTTGGTTTCGATTCCGTACATGGGCCAGGAAGTGGCCGGAACCCTACACGCCTGGTTACCGTACTCCGTACTCATTCATTCATACATTCATTGTGTGTGTGTGTGTGTGTTTTCAACGAAAAGATACCACCACCCGACCCAACCCGAACCAGAGGTGTGTGTGCATGGCAAGCCGCTCACATTTTTAACACCCGGTTTATTCATTCATTCGTTCGGTCGTTCAGACAAACAGACATATCCACACGCCTTGCCTTGCGCTGTGGTTCAGCCCGGCTAAGGGCCCCTGGCACCCGACCATACGACATCTGTTCAACAAAAAGATACCACCACCCGAACCGAACCGAACCAGTGGCATGGCGAGACGCCCACAATGTAAAGCCCCTTTCATTTGTTCATTCATTCGTTCATTCATTCATCGAATCATTCACACAGACGAAGACATGTAAACACGTGCCCTGCCCTGCACTGTGGTGTGCATTCCCATTCATTCAGTATAAGGAGGTCTCCTTTCGGGTGTGCTTTTGATTCGACATCCGGACTCATATCGGGGCTCATACCCTGTTAAAGGCTAAGTGGATCGGATGCTATAGTAATTGCCAGAGCGTTACAAAAGCGACTAACTGCTCAGCTCAGCCACAACTCACTACTCTACAAGCATACCAGACAAAAATAATCGCTGGCTCATTCCTATTTATTGACGAGTTCGACAGTCGATCAGCAAGTACGGAAGATGGCTCCGAACCACTCCAGAAACCAACTATCATGCAAGCACCAGGCGACAGACTGACCGGACAACATTTTCCTCAACACTAATCCACGTACGGTCTGGGTTGGACCAGGTGTTATTTTTTCTCTTACAAGCTCCGAGGTAAAAAAGATTTCGGGTTTTAGGCCTTTAGGTTTTTCGGGTCCCGTACCCCGATTTGTGGGGCGGCTCAATCCTACGATTTGACTACAAGAGCGACTGGGCCGGCTGATGGGTTTAGGGTTCTAGGGCTGCTGAAGGGGGACATGGGCGCTGCGGAGGCTAGAGTGCGAAATTTGTCAATCGCCATCCTGCTCGGTTACGTCCTTTCCTGGCGTGATACACCGTACGCACGAACATCGTACCTTGACAGTGGCACACACACACCTAATGACGAACAAAAGCGGCACGTCGTAAAACGCTTTGAAGAGCCTCTTACGCCTCCCTCGGTAGGGAACCGGCTTCACACTCTTTGCGGCATGAACAGCCGCCCTGCCAGTAGTAACAACCAGTAGCGCCCGCAGTCCCATAACGTGTTGGTACTGCCCGTTGCCCCATAACGCCGGCTTGTGCTGCTCCGAAGCCATAAATGTAATTTACACGTAGTGTACAAATGGAGGAGGAGAAGCCCCCGAAAATCCAAGCTGCCTACCGTCCTCAGCATTAACAGTACTTAAAAATAGGCAGCAGACCACCACACCCTGCGTTTCGATAACTTCAGCTTCACAGCTCTCAATCACCCAATTTAACCGCACGTGTGCAGAGCTGCAGTGTCTCCCTCGAATGGGCCCCAACGCGGTGAGCTCCTCCCCCCCCGTTCAAGCAATTATCCCCTCTCCTCCTGCTCCTTTCCAGTGCGATGACGGCGCTATGAGGAAACCAGCGACTCGCGACTTCAATGACGAGGACACCACCACAACAACAACAACAACCGAAGGCGCGGCTAACGAGCAAAGACGCCCGCATAGCTAGCTAGGCAAGCCATATACCGTTTGACGTCGTCTCCTTCATCCAAAACGCGGATGGACATGTACAAAGCAAGAGAATATATATACAACGCCAAAAAGCGACTCTTCTTCATGCAAAAATGTATGTAAGTCGCGAGCAGGATGGGCGGGGCCGAAACGAACCAAATCCTCAACAAAAGTGAGAAACCACAAAAGCGCCAAATTCCCAAGGTGCCCCTGTGGGAAATGGTTAAGAGGCACCCTAACAAAAAAACCCAAGCCGAAGACCAAGGCTTTACCAACAACCCGATTGCGACGCTCGGTGGAGAGTCTAATGTTACCTTACCATTTGAAATCCATGTCAAACCTTCGTTTCTTCTTTTTTTTCGCATCATGCATGTCGTGTCGTACACTCGCAGCAGCCTGCTCCTACAGCCGCGCCCCTGCTGCACCTGCACCTGCGCCTCCTGCCCTTCGCCCTTGCTGATATCGCGAACGAAGGGCCATTGCTAGCTTGCTTGACAGCTCACACGTACGCCAATAGCTGTCGAGTTATTAGATACACAACCTTAACCCTTATGCTGCAGCCTGCCCTCCAGAGCAGCCGCGGCATCTGTGGCCCCGCTGCTGCGGCTGGTGCCATTGCATTTCCCTTATTAGGCATGGCCCAGAATGAGCGGCTGGCGCTGCTGGCTGAGAGCAGCAGCTGCAGCAGCAGCAGCAGCTTCCCGCTGCAGCTGCTGGGGGGGAGTAGAGAGCAGGAGGTGCAGGGGGAGGGGGGTAAAGCGGGGTACATGGCAAAGCATCATCATGCTCTCATCAACAGCTATCCTTTAGTAGTCCTACAGCACCACATCTACACGGTATCGCACCTACACATCCCTTACCAAGGCATGCCACTGCATATCATCCAGCCTCTCACCTTCTCTTCCTCCAGCTCCTCCTCCTCCTGCTGCTGCTGCAGCAGCTGTTGCTCGTGTCGCTTCTGCTCCGCCCGCCGTACCGCCGCCGACACTTGCCGCGCCACGCTGCGGAGCTGCTCCATGTCGAACTGGGCGGCCACATGTGGGTTGCCTAATCTGGATAGGTTGAGAAGATCAAGGAGCGAGGACGCATGGCTGGAAGTGGGCTCGGCTGACGGACAAGGGAGGGACAGAGGAGAGGCAGGGAGTCAACGTGTGCGAGGAAGCGGGGGACGGCGGTGAAGGGCAGGGCAGGGCAGGGCAGGGCAGCACAGCACAGCACAGCACAGCGCAGCACGCCGTGTGTCAGTCAGAGAGTCGACATGTGGGAAGGGGCCATTGGTGCGAGTGGTGTTTGAGGAACTGAACACTGGTTGAATACTGGTACAAGAGAAACATCTAGATCAAGGCACCACATGCGGTTGAAGTGCACAAGGTCACAAACCCATTTCCCGCCACCCGCTCACCATCGGGTCGGTCGGTTCAGGTATTCAGTGGATTGACCTGGTAGGTCCATTTTTCTATGGATTTCACCTAACCTGGCCGCATGTCCGTCTGCCCCTCCACATTAAGAACCAAACCAACTTGTCCCTCTATCACCCACATCCCTGTCCACACATGCCATGCATACGCGCACGCATCAGACGCCCATAGACACACACAATTTCCCCTCCTCTCCCGCCCTCCATCCCGCCCTCCATCTCTCCCTCCACCTCTCCCTCCATCTCTCCCCTCGCCTCACCCTCCTCGCATAGGGATGCCATGACGCCGGTGCAACCCGCAGCCAAACACTCGAGCACCGTGGCATGCGCCAGACCGTAACCCGCAGTCACATGGACTAGCAGCGCACCATCGACAAAGCCACTGCTGCTGCTGCTGCCACTGCTGCTGCCACTGCTGCTCCTGCTGTCACGTCCTCCTCGCGGATTCGCCTGGCCCTGATTTTCATTGTCTTGCTCCCCCGTCCCCGTCCCCGTCCAGCCAACCCCGTCCATGACGGCGCGGACGGCTGCCACGCAGGGGGCCGCTTCGAAAGGGAAGTGGCCGCCTGGGCGAGTGTATTGGTACGTGGTGTTTGGGTAGTGGATGAGATCGGGGAAAGGAAGGAGGGTAGAGCGTTGGCTCGAACACATGTACAGAAGGCTTGTACGATGATGTGTATGAAAGATGCGAGAGAGGGCATTTGACTGAGGAGAACACCGAGAGGGAGTGTGGATGTATGGATGCATCCATGGTGAGCAGTTGTTGATACCCTTCAAACCTTGCCAAAGGGCCAATAAAACGCGCTGTGTTAAAACAAAACCTTCGTACGTCCAACCACCAACTGACAACCGCAATCCAACATATTAGGTATACATCTGAATGTTGCTCATGCGGCTTTTTATCACCGCGGCTACTAGTGCCACATCTCCTACAGGTTTCAACTACAGCTTTTTCAAGTCGCGAAAGCTATAGCGCTACTGCTACTGATACTGCTACTGATACGACTACATTCCTCACTCGCTGACTCGTGCAGCAGGATGCCCTTAGGTCTGATGCCGGGCTCCAAGCGCCCCAGGTACTCCACCAGCTCCAAAACCCGGCTGGGAGCCACCTGCGGTGGCAGCAGTAGCCGCAGTGGCAGCAGTTCAGCAGTAGCAACCATAACAGCCAATCCTTGCTCGTTGTTTCAGCAGCTTCCTGGAAGTACAGTAGCCGTACCAGTACCAGTACTGCAGTACTTGTCGCAGTGACAAAGACAACAGCACAGCAACAGCAATGGCAGCAGTAGCAGCAGCAGTAGCAGTGGTGGCGGTAGCAAGCCAGAAGCATTCGGCGGCAATTAGGACCCCCTCCCCCCCCAAGAGCTCCTCCTCCCGGGAGCCCCCTGCCACACACACCTGCATGGCGGTGGCGAAATCCCTCAGGTGAATGTAGCTGGTGGGCTGAGTAGCGCGGCCCGCGTACAGATTGGCCGCCACCCACCTGCCAATCAAGATCAGACAGCGGGTGCGACAGCGGTTTTTCCTTAGAGGTTGTTTATCTCGGGTGCATGTGTGCTGAGCGACCATGTCGCTGAAGCGGCAGTTCGACCACGATATGAAGGTGATAAACCCGGGGACACAACTCCCCCGGGTATCCGGGAATACAACCACAAAGGTGGCAGGCACTTCATCAGGCGCTATGTGTAATTAAGTACTGATGGTCTCGTGCTCCGAAAACTACCCAACAACACCTACCCAACACCTACCCATACCCATACCCATACCCATGGCCTTTCTTACCTATCCATCAGCGCGCGGACCTCTAACCCCCGGGCCTCCAGACGTCTTCACATTGTCTTCGGATCGGATTTGGTGTGCTTTGACTTTTCCTTAAAACCTCTAAAAAAACCTAAACCCCCAAAATCTCCGTCTACGTTACCTGCAGCGGCTCTCTACCAGCGCACAGAAATCCTCCGTGGAGTACCTGAATCCAATGAATGGAAACGATGATGGGACGAGTAGCGCAGCGGCGTTCATTGCAGCAGCCGCGGTGGCGACACCGCCTCTGTGACCTATCCCTGCCTCGGGGGGGCTCCATCGGGTGATCACTGCTAGGGGTGGCACCCCAACTGGTCAACCGTCCTCGTCGTCATTCTCATTTCCGTGAACGTCCCCTCTCCTCCTCCCCCTTTCCCCCCATCCTCTCATCCGAAACGACGGTCCTAGGAAAAGATTTGCGCTTTCCAATAATTCAAGCCTGCCGTTTTTTTCAAACAATCTAAGATGCAACGGTCCACAGAAGATATGACGGATGCTGTTTGACCGATGATGACAAGTCGAGGGGATGTCTAGAATCCTTGGGAAATACTGATTGTACTGTGCGCCTCCTTACTTGTTCCAGTTAATGTACGGCGCCGCCAGATCACACTCCAAGATCGCGTTCTGAATCCCGTACTGAATCATCTTGGCCAGTCCGAAGGGCAAATCCTGCATAAATACATACATACAAATACACATTTACGCATTCACACACGCAACCCAAGCTGCATTCAGTGTAGCGAATATATTGGAGTCGCTATGCAGCGGCTAGCTGGCTACGTGTCGATGCCGCGAGAACGCGGGCTTTGTCGCGGTCGTTCGTTGCGGTAGTTGTGTTGTGCTTTGTGTACGGTGCTTGTATGTGTTGTCTGGTAGCGCTAAGATACAATAGCTACCATTAACCGCACTGCTGTGGCCTTCTGCGGCCTTTTTTATTTCCAACATTCAGTTTAAGTATGGCATACCTGGCCCGGTAGGTCACTGCCATTCACATCAAAGAGCTCTGAAAACGCGAAGCAATGCTCGTTAATAAGGTTCTGTGACCGCATCACCTGTAGAACGGACACACTGTATCGGATCAGCGTTATATCCCCAGATGAACAACAAATTATGTAAAGGTCGAAGAGGAACATTTCAGGGTGTATGGACTTACGGACCGATGCGACTACATACACATGGCTCATGTACCTCGCAGACGCACGAGGCGCACATCGACGAGAGGCACAGGACCCAGTAGTGTTGTAAGGAGAATATCCATGTAAGCTGGAGCACTTGCAAGCCGTATCGTATGCTAAATGTAGGAGGTTCGGGTTTAAGACACCGATTTCACGGAAACCGAGCTGCCATGATAGGAATCCTGCTGTAGCGAATATGCAAAGCTCGTTAGAACTATAGTCGTCTTATGGAAAAAGTGAGGTCTTTCAAGGAAAAGCCTTGCAAACCCTTCCCAAACTGAAACTCGCCTGAAGAAACTTTAGGTCTGGAGTCTTTTCCTTGACGAAGGCAGCAAGGACAATGTTTTTCAGGCCTGCAAGTCAGGAGCAAAAAAGCCACGGAGGAGTCAAAGCCTTAAAGTTCACTGCGCCAGCTCCGGAAGCCCCAGCTCCGTGCACAGAAAATAAACATATCTAACAGAGAAATAAAGACAATCACGTGAATCGAATTACAGTTAGGTTAAGCCAACTTCACTTCTCTCGGTGTACCGTAACGCTCCAACCGAGGGCATGATACCTACCACATTGCGACAGCAGCTTGAAGGCGTTCACCTTGTCCTCCACCGACTCCTGTCCAGCAGAAAGGCACTCCACAATTGTCGCATCCAAACAGAAAGGATTGAGCTTTGCTAGGCGCTCCTCGCGGGCTTTCCGGGCCTCCTCGGCGGCCTTCAGCCGGGCGACTTCCTGTTTCACGACGCTGCTGGCCCGCCCAGCAGTGCTATCTCCGCTGCTTAGCGGACCAGCAAAACCGTCAGCACTGGAGTGCCGCTTGGACCTGCTACTGAACAATACAAGCACATTCTTCATTTTCAATCCTTCGCCGAAAGGTTTCCGTTGCTATGTATTACACAGACAGCTTTTGCAAGAACCTGTTTGTACTACTATTTTCGGATCAGGTGAAGAAATGACAAGAAGTTACCGTCCCGACTACCGTAAACCGTGGGCTTGCGTACGCCAGCCACGTCGGACTACGCATCAAATCTCCCATACATCGCTCACACTTGTACGCAAACATCCAACACATACATTTATACATACAGACATACGCACATATATTCCGCATCCTCTCTGCCTTGTTACGTATACAGAATTGCGTATGTAAACCGCTTCGACGTCCCAGGCCCTACTCCTACTGCTCTATCACCCACGTAACCCGATCCCAGCGATGGATGTATGTTCGCTTTCCCCCCAACTCCCCCAGCCACACGATGTTTCCCCATCCTGGTCGTAAAACGGTGTCTGCAATCCAGGATCCAATGGATCTGTCGTCATCGAGCGCGTTGGACCCCTTCGCCTCAAGTCAACCCTAGCTAGTGTACGCCAAGGCTTGATGAAGGCTGAAAATGAGGGAGAGAAAAAATGGACGAGAGAAGAGTACGATATATTTACGATGAGGGTCTTAATGTCACTCGGGAATTTTCCAAGGGGATATCACTGACAGATAAGGATGGCCGTAGCGAAGCGCTGAACTGCCACACAACGACAGCGGTTGGAACTTATTCCAAACACCCAACCAACTGCCAAGTAAAATGTCAGGAACAAAAGGAAAGCCGAAAAACAATTCTGTCCGTGAGAGTCCTGCCATTAGACAGCCAACCAACCAACCGAACAAACAAACAGACGAACAGATAGACGAACAAACGAGATCACACCTCAAACAGAACGCAGCAGCCCCGATTCAACTTTCACAACCACCATTCATGCATCATCTTCATCAACATCACCACGACCGCTCCGTGCTCAACATCACTAGCAACACCTTAAGCGCACCTAATGCACCTAGTACGGAAGACAAAAACCAAATCAACCAAACAAGCACATGACCAACTGTACACGTATAACTCTAACCAACCCAACTTCCTCGCGTGTTACCTCCACCAGCATCAAGTCCATGCACACAGCCAACCAACCAACCACCACTCAATGCGACAACAACCAGGATTCTTCACCAGGGTACCCTAAAATTTCGGTCGTGCCCAAACCCTCTGATTTACCTATCGTTGACCTCCCCGAAAGTTTCCATGTCAGCCTGACCGTTTTGTCGGGCACCCCGAAACTGACTGAAGCGGTTTTCGGGGCAAAGTTTAGCTGGATTCTATCGTAATATGCTAGGACTGCTGAATTTACAGGTGCTTGACTATATTTTGGAACATGGCGCCTGGGAGCAATCGTTCAGGCATGGATTTTGCCCATAACCAAGGAGTAAAAGCAACTAGAGATTTCCCTGCATAGGTGTAAACTCCGCATCAGTTCCCCAGGTACTTTCATAGCGCCACTATTATACTACTTGTATGATAGGAGCTTAGCAGATGCCTTAGGGAAGCCGCGAATCCCGAGGGAGATGCGGGGCACCTTGGTTGGGCGTTCATCATCAGCTGACTCAGGCATGTTTAACTATGCATATGCTTAGATGTGCGATATAGCCGCAACGCACATTTGTACTTGTTGTTTTACTGGTGAACAAGCGGGCCTTACACTGCTAGCCCGGTTTCCAGGCGCCTTCCGCACCCGAAAATGCTTTACGCATTTACGCTTGAGTATCTTTCGGTTTTCCCCGAAAATGCCTTCGGGAGGCTTCGGTGGGGCCCCCGAAGCAATCCTTAAAATGGCCCCAAATCCTTTCGGGATGCTCCGGGTCGCACAAATCTTCCTTTGGGCAAAACGGAAAAATCTCAAAAATGTTCGGGCCCGAATCGTGGTGAAGAACCCTGACACCAACACGACCACCCGTGTTTGGAATATAGTGCTTCTACTAGGGAGCGGTCTTTCCGTCCGTCCGTCCGCCCGTCCGTCCGTTAGTTAGTTGGGTTTGTCCACGTAGGTGAGCTCCAGCTGCTCTTAATGGCTCTCGGCGTCCCGCGTACCCTCCCCCCCTTTTCGGTCAGATGCGTGGTATGTGGTATGTGAAATACGCACACCCGCACATACATACATACACCCACACACACACCGCCGGCGACTGCTTTCATCGATATATACGTACAGACATCCCCCCCCTTAAAGCTGCAACAGGCCGTCAGCACTTCCCCCACCCTCCTGGCGCTCAATAGATTGATGGAGCAAACACACACACACTCTCTCGTGGATCCCCGTGGGCCCGTTTCAGAGCTCGTATGTGTACCGAGGCGGCAGATGACCCGGACGCCGCGGTTGCGGCTTGGCCAGCTCGGCCGCCCAGATGTCGCAGCAGTCGTACGGGAAATGTCGGAAACTCGCTCCGCAGCGGTTGCAGCCCCACACGTGGCAGTTCTCAATCAGGTGGTCGCCGCCCAGGATGAGCCTGACGACGACGACGACGAGGAGGAGGACAACGGGATGACGATGACGATGATAGAAAAAAGGGGGGAGCTGGCGTGCGCAGCCAGTAAGAAGAGGTGATGACTCACAGGTTAGCCTCGGTTCAGGCGCGAGGGTGCAATAGGTGCAGAAGGTAGTGCGGGCTGGCTGCTACCTACAAAAGGTTGCCACCTACAACAGCAGCTAGTCATCGGCTCGCCACACCAGCTACGTCCCCCCACCAGTGCTCACCTCCGCTCTCTCATGCCCTCCATAAGCTTGGGTGACGGAAAGCCGTACACGATGGGTACGATAGAGCCGCCGCCGCAGCGGGGGCAGAGCAGGTTCTTGAGGAAAGCCATCTGCTGTCTGTACTGCCGACGGGACACGCCGTTGCACCCGGCGGGTACAGGAGCCGGCGGCGGCGGCGGCGGCGGCGCTGCATCGGCTGTCCCACTGCCGTCGCCATCAGCTGCAGCGGCACCAGCGCCTCTGCAGGCCGCCGCTGCCGCTGCCGCCGCGCCGGCACTGCATGTGGACGCGGATGCCGCGGCCGGCAGCGCCCTATCGTAATCGCCATGGCCACCGTCGCTGCAGCGGCGTGCAGCCGCACAGCCGCTACTGCTCCCATCACCCTTGCCGTCACCGGGCTCAACGGGTCGATCATTGCCCCCGATTCCGTCGATGACGCTTCCGCCATCGCCATTACCTCGCCATCCTCCTCCATGCGGCCGAGTCGACGACCCTAACCCAGCAGTCGACGTGATGCCAACGCCTGACGCTGCCGCTACCCGCGCGTCGGACGCCGCTGGCTGTAGCGTCAGTACCTGTGGCGGCAACAACGCTGGTGCCCCCACAGCCGCAGTCATCCCCCCGGTGGCCATGACCGGCTTCATGCCACCGCACGACAGCACTGCTGCTGCTGTTTCTGCTGCCGCCGCTGCCCCCTCCTCCTCCTCCTGCTGGAGCACCAGCTGCTGCTGTTCCCGCCGGTCATGTCGATCTTGATGTCCCTCCGGCGCCGCACCAGGGGGGTTAGGCCCCGTCATGTCCCTGTCGACCTCGCCCTCGGGAAGAAACCACGAGGAGTCGGCCCCGGGCTTGCCTAAACCCCCCGGGCCACCGAATCCAGCCAGACGCGTTGGATCCAGATCTGTCGTACTAAGATTTGGATCTGCGTTCCTGAATGTATCCGAGACTTGTTGTGCAGCAGGTTCTTGTTGTTGTTGTTGTTGTTGTTGCCGCAACGGACATCGCCTTCGCAGTAGTAACGGCGACAGGCCGGCCCCGCCCGGCTCTGATGCCGCCGCTGCTACCCCCAATGCTGCCTCCGCGCCGAGTGCTCCCGTTCCCGCTACTGCTATTGTAACTGTGGCTGCAGCGTCAACGGGCGGCAGCTCTATCCCAGCTCCGACTCTCAGCTCCGAAACCACTCTACCCGCGGTTCCACATCCCGACGGGAGCACCCCTGCCCCAGCTCCCTGCCCCGCCCCCAGGTCCCCCAGGTGCGGCTCCGTGGGGAACACCCACTGCCCCCAGCGGCTGCTGTAGAGGGCCGACCACAGGGACTCCGAGGAGGCAGCCTGGAAGGGGGGAGAGGAGGGGGGAGAGGGGCGGGGGGGTTGCACACCACTGAGCCGGGTCCCCCCACCCCCTAACGACCCGCCGGGGACTACATGGCGGCTCTACACACACACACACCGGCTAAAGAGCACCCATAACACCCTGAGACGGACGGACGAGTGTTGAGAAACCCAACCAACTATGGCAGCCCTACTCTAACACATCCTGTCCTCAAAAACCCTAACCCTCCTAAATTAAAACTTCTAAAACTCCTACAACCCGAAACCCCCACCAGGGACATAACCCGGGTGGCCCCCTGCGCTCGGAGGGGCCCCCAGCCTACCAGGGACATGGATCGGCTGGTCATAGCCGCTGCACTCAACGACCGGTAGTCCAGGTGCCGGAATACAGCCTCAAGCAGCGACACAGGCAGGCAGTCCAAGCTAAGACCACCATAACACGACATGCCGGTGCTGCCGCCGCTACCGCTGCTGCTGCCTCCGCCGCCGTCGACGTCCACGTCAGCTGATGACGTTCGTCCGATTGGTCCAGATCCAAATACGGACTGCCGTACTGGCTGAGCCTGCGGGTTTACCGTTGGTGCCGCCATCCACGGCTGCTGCTGCTGTTGCTCCTCCGAGCACTGTACTGCAACGGATCTGGATCCGGATTCGGATTCCGGCGGGATGGGCCCTAGCAGCGGTGGCGGTCTTTGCGGCGGCTCACAGTAGCAGCCTGTACAGCAGACCGGCTGAGTGCGTGCAACACCGCATGTACCGGCCGTGGCGGTACCGATAGCTGCAGATTGCGGAGGTGCGCCGCTGACGTTGCCGGCGCCGGTGCTGCCTTGCCCAGGGCCGTCGGCCGTCGGCTGCGGCTGCAGCTGGGGCGGCAGTGCGGCTGCCGCGGCGGCGGCCGCTGCAGCGGTCCTGCCTGGGCGCGAAGGTCGGAAGTCCTCCTGCCCTGGAGCTGATGACGTCATCACGTCCCGGAGATAGCTGTTGACTGCCGTGGGCGAGAGAGGGGGAAGGTTTGCGGGGGAGGAGGCGCTGTAAGGAAAGAGCCAGGGGAGGCCGCCGGAGCGGCGGCACTGTTATTTGAGAGACATTCTCGCTCAGGGCTCAGTCCATTAAGACAAATACACACGCGCGCACACGTGGCTCCCCCTACCGCACCTGCCCAGTGTGTTTTTCCTCTGGAGCTGCGGATCTGGAACAGAAGACGTTCAGGGTCCGCCCCTGGACCTAACTTGGCTTGGAGCTCCGCCACGAGGGCTTGCTCGTTCGGGACCTGACTTCGCCGAGGGGCCGCGGGGGAAGTGAAGCGGGGCCGGGGAAAATAAAGAGCCGAGGATTTCGGGATAACTAAACACAGACAGACAGGCAGAAAGACACGGTACGGCAAACGTAGAGCATGGCAAGCTCACGGCGGTGGATGGTATTCCGATGACAGGTAGGCGCTTGTATAGGAGCTGTGACGGTTGTTGTGAGGCCGTTAGGGGCGGAGGAGGGCGGGGGTTATGCAGGAAATGACGATGTGGGTGCGGCGCGTGTAAGGAGGCGTGGAAGGGATTGGTGGACGGGGAAACGCGGAAAGATGTACATGGTTTGGCGTTCTGTAAAGCTTTGGAGAGGGCTCCGTGACGGGCTTTGCGACGGAAGGAGCTGCTAGAGTTCAAAATGGTTAAATTTGGGGTTGTGAAGGAACTCCACACACAATTCGGGGAACGTGGTGGGAGAGGCGGCGAGGCATTACTGTGGGCTAGGCGTGGCAAGGCGTGAAGTGCAGCGAAGCAGGCGCAACGCCCGTCATCAGGTCATTTTTTGATGGTCTGTCATGGTCACATCATGTTCGGCAAGGGCGTCGCAAAGCTGCATCATGCTGCCCGAAGCCATGGAACCCTCACCTGAGGCGGGTCCCGGTTAATGAGGGCCGCCAGCTTGGCCTCTTGCCCGAACATTGCAACTCAAAGGTATGAGATAACGCAAACAGCTCGTAAATTTTAGCAGATGCAAGCGGGGACAAATTATATGGCACAGGCGCCTAATATTGTCTCCAGGCTTCGAGCTGTTTTCGCGTGCAATACCGTTACGTATTCCAGTGCATACCTCTCTGAAAGGTCATTTGTATCAGAAAAAGAAAATTATGATAGCTGCAGTGCCATTCCTTATTCCTGATGGTAGTTGATGCATCTCGCTAGCTTTTCACAAAGAGGAAGCACGACACGAACTCCGCTATATCCTCGCATAATGCGTTCCGGATTTAAAATTCTATACCATTGCGTATTTTCGCAATAGGCGTAACCATATTTCGACCTCGGTGAAAGATTTTCACCCAGGTTATTGGGGTTGTGAATCTTGCTATGGTCCTTGCAAGCGCCCAACATTTAGGAAAGCTACGTTACCTTCTTCCCCGATCATTGCCTTTGCGATCGCCGCGACCAGTTAGACTGCACAAACCAAGTATTCGCGCAAGCGTGGTCACCAACGCCATGGCGGGCCCTGCCCAAATGCCCGAAGCCTACCCACATGGCTTAAAGACTTTGACCCCAGGTGAACCGGGTTCCGCGTGGGGACAGCACGCGTCAAATGACGGGCTGCCCTTTGGCATCCCTGTTCCTGAGGACAGCTTCAGGCCGCGTGTAGTGCATCGCACTATCCAGGACCCTCCGGATTGTGTGTATTGTTAAAGTTTGCGGCCGACCAGTCAAAGACTGCGTTCAAGGGGCACCATAGATCAGGCACACCTCTTATGTTCCCTTGTCCCCTCCTACCTACCCTTCCTGCGCGCGCCGTACTGCAGTCCCTGTCTCTTAACCAACGGCCGTGCCCAGCGCATCGATATGAAATCCGATCCGCGTACTTGCGAAAAATCTTTCACCGCCCGACTCCTCGTTTCATTCGAACTTGGTTTCCCTGCTGGCCCTTGAGCCGTACTTGAGACCACGACGTCTAACGCCCCCTCCACTCCTGAGCGCTCCACCCCCCTGGTGAACAACTCTTTGATCTTCCGCTCCAAAGATTATATATACACGCTCCCTCCAAAAACACAACAACCCAAATGCGTCTCCAGGAAACACCATCGTCGAGGCGCTGCAGATCCTGGGTCCCGGATTCCGGTTGGTGCCCCTTGATGGCAACTCGCCGTACGTCAAACCCAAGGCGGCGCTGTACGACTTCAACGGTACGACGACATGAGAACGCCTCCACGTGAGGCCCTCCCGGAAATCTCCATGAGCCCGTGTGTGTGTGTGGGGGGGAGGGATGATGCGATTTGGGTCACACTGGGGTTTATTGGGGATATGGGGTGCTGTTTTCCGGCTTGCCAAGTTTGCAAAATGACGAAAACGCGCACGTGGTGATGAAGGGAAGGGTGTTGAGGAAAGGGAGTACCTAGCACTTGCCCCAACACCGTTGGTGTGGCCGCCCTGCAAGCTCCGCGACAGCGTTAGCCATTGCCGTTTGCTCGGTCCGCTGGCGTTTTGCCCTCAGTGCCCCTTTTTAAGTGACGCTACAAATGTCCTCTCTGCGGCCCCAGGGGTTTCGCCGTGTCATGCGTGTTCCCGAGCGCATACCGGTGATGCGCTGTTAGCAATATAGTGCGCCTCCATTGAATTACCGTACGGCTTTGGTTGTCGTACATTGCCGTACCTCCTGGCGGCTCGCAGGCAAGGAACGCCGTTGGGACGTCGTGGAGAGTCATGCCAGTGTGGGTGTGGTGCTGTACCATCGGGACCTAGACGCGTTTGTGATTGTACGGCAGTTCAGGTACGCATACACACATACACGCACACGGACACGCACCCCCCCTAACCCCCCTTGGGCCAGCTGATCGCCATAGTCTTAGGGTTATTTCCTCTCCCCACTTCTCCGCCCTTTCTTGTACATGATTTCCAACTCCGTGGTGGCTTGCCGCTGGTCAGGAAGAAGCACGCGCCCCTCCCTGCCCGCCCCGCTCCCTCCTAAAACCCCGAACCGACCAGACCTGCGGTGTACGCGAGCCTCCTCAGAGAGGCCGAGGCGGCTGGCCGACACCCGCCGCCCTTCAAAGACGGTGCGCACTCGGCTCCGGGACAGAGGCGGGAGGGGGGCCTTACGAGCGCGCGCGGCTCAGTGGTTCATTCAAGGAACCGAACATGAGCACATGGTGGTGCACACACACACATACACATACACACTCACGCGTGCGGATGCACGTGGCCGCAACGAACACACGCACACACGCACACACACACACACACACACAAACACGCACACACGCACACACGCACACACACACACACGCACTCACACATACGCACACACGCACTCAGAGTATGCCTTGATGTTGTCTCAATTACCTCCGGCCCCGCGCCCTGCCGCTGCTGCGTCCCTGGACTGTACGGCGACCTCCCGGCCCATCTCTCGGGACGACGGGTCACTCGCATCCCGCCTGGCGCTTGCCGCCTCATCTCCTCGCGACGCAGCCTTCACGTATGAGTTGTGCGCGGGGCTAATCGATAAGTCCAAGTCGAACGTCGAAATCTGCCAAGAGGTACGATGCCGTACGGTACAGTGTGGTACGGCAACCGCAGTGCCCGGCACCGTCTTCCTCTCCTTGAGACGTGCGAATGTGGGAGGAATCTGACTGGGGGGTTACCGCGCAGTACGGCAAGGGTGATTGAGGCCTCGGTGCCGTACGGAATGACCCACCCTGCGAGCTGTCTCGTATGTTCACTAAATACGTCCTGTCACACACATAAATACAATAAAACATAAATACAAGAAATGTATCAAGAACTTGGAACATATGCATAATTTTATTGCGAATGCAAGGTTATGTTAATACAAAATTTCATCTAGTTTTATGTTTGTTTTATTGACTTCTCACTCACTCACTCACTCACTCACTCACAGGAGATTCTCGAGGAGTGCGGCTTCTCAGTCCCCCTAGAGGCCATTCGGGAGGTCGGGGTGGGCATCTCCTCAGCCGGAACACAAGGGTCTCCACACATCATGTACTACGCTGAGGTACGACAGGATGTACGGGTGGTGTGAGTTAGCGGGCGGGGGGAAGATGAAGGGGTTTGCACTAGCAGATGCACATCCGGGAGCTGGGTGCTGTTGCTGGGGTCTTGTCTTCCCACCCGCAAATCTCCCTCCCCCCTTCCCCCTGCCCCTCCCCCCTCCCGAGGTCGCCGCACTTCAAGAACGCCTTTTGGTCAGTTCTACGTCTGGTACACTCATGCCCTGGCAGCACCTTCACTCGTTCGTGGTTCGTCTTTCCCCCCTCCCTCCCCCCTCCCTTACCTCCCACACCCCCCTCCCCCTCCCTTACCCCCCACACCCCCAGGTGGACTCCTCAATGGCGGTCGAGGGTGCCGGTGGCGGCCTGCTAGGTCACGGCGAGTGCATAGAGGTGCTGGCGCTGCCCCTGGATCTCAGCCAGGACTTTGTGATGGACGGAAAACTGCCCAAGAGTCCGGGTAGGGAGGGGGAAGGGGGGAGGGCGGGTTAGGAAAGGGGGGGGTACTGCGCAGATAGGTATCCGGCGCGTATATCTGGGGCCACGGTCCCGATCTCGACAGCATTGGAGTACGGACACCATCTAGAGGTGACGTGTCGCTTCCTCTACCTCTGAATTACAACACCCATCTCCATTATCACCACGTCACCACGTCCGGGTCCTCTCCTAGGAGAGGACTCTTTCCGCCGCCGCCGCCAGCCACCCGCCCGCCCGGTTTCCTCTTCCCCATCACAGGCCTTATGTTCGGACTGACGTGGGCGTATTTCAACAAACTTAACGGTAATCTTGGGCCACGGGGTAACGGCCCCGCCAACGGTAATTGCGCCAATCCGCTGCTTACAGAGGAGCTGGTGCTGAAGCCCGTGTTACCTGCTTGAGCTTGAGCTTGCGTGAGCGAGGGAGGGAGGGGGGACGGCAGGGAGGGGGAACTTGCGACGTGTGTGGGGCGGGCCAGGAACGTTTCCTTGCAAACTTCGGCAACATCAGTAGCCCAAGTGGGGGAAGGCGGGCCGGAAGAGGTTCTGGGAGGAGAAGAAAGGAGAGGAGAGGAGAGGAAGGAAAATGGTGTGGAGAGTCGGGCGACAGGCGGTTAGGAGGAGGGCCTCGTTCAGGGGTGTCGTGTCGGGTAAAGGAAGGGGAAGACGATAGGCCCTTCAATTTTAGCCCGGGGGAGCGCAGGGGTGGAGCGCAGAGCGGTGATCGAATGAAGACAGGCTTTTGGGAGGATTCGAGGCCTGTTTGGGAGGCAGCTGGTTGAGGGGATTAGGGCTGCGGGTGGATGCGGGGGTTACGGACCTGTGCAGCACGAGTAGTTGGGGAGGACAGGAAACGGTGACACAGCCATCATCTGGTGATGGGCTGGCAGGGGAAGGGATGCGCTGCCCAGGACAGGGCGCAGCAACACAAGCCCCCCGCAAAGACCTTTGTAACGTAGCTAGCAGTTACGCATTACGCTACGTCCCCAGAGGGGTTACAAACATGGCCGCCAGGGTCGAGCGCCGGGCAGGATCTATATTCGATTTACGGAAGCAGATCCACAACAAAACGCGGATAGCCCTCAAAATGGCATAGCAGTCTACTGCAGTACAACGACGCCCCAACGTACGTCAGTACGGACACGAGCTCGAAAAGTACCTTCTCTCTCAACCACCCGCAGCTTCTGTTCCCACGCCAACCGGTTTAGTACTGTCTCCGAAACCAGCTCGCTCGTAAATGCAATACATATAGAGCAGAAAACCTTGGTTTTCCCTGCTTAAGTGGATCGCACGATATAGGAAACCTGTATGATGTATACGGTTTGGGACGCAGCTAAGTACTCCGAAGAAACCAGCCCAGCCGAAAAGTCCAGCTATTAATGTATTCAACGTTCCGCAAAAGCACAACCACCAACGTGCAGACTGTGGTGCATCGCTTGCTCAAACTGGCTAAAGTCAGCCCAGTGTTAGGACTATTCCGGCTGATTGCACGACTTTATACGTACGGCATCAAATAAGGAATTCTCAAGACTCGTGAACGAGATCATCCTGCCGAGCAGCGAACCGGCTCGCGCATACTACTACTCGGTTGCCGGACCGTTGCTAGTAGTTGTGCTCATAACGACCAGCCGTTGGTTAACCGCCAGGCGAGCCACCAGCGTCCCCGCAGCCACCTCGAACAACATCTCCCTGAAGGATGGCATTCCGCATATGCAGTATAGGTGGTTGTGGCGGTTAGAGATATTCCTGTCTGTTGGTTGACCGTTGGCGATCAGACAGGCACAGATGTGGGCAGACTAAGCCATCGTCTGAAAGGCCGCAAGGTGAGCTTTACGGCCCCAAGACCAGACACTCCGCTGCGCACGCCCCCCTCAGACAGAGACCAACCCTAAAACCACACTGCACCTGCCGCACTGGAGTTCGTACTTCGGTAACGTGTGGGTTTGTCCACCCCAGCACACACAGACAAGCACATACAGACACGGCCTACTTGGGCACCGCCCCTAGCTCCCTAAGCCGGAATCCCTGGCGCTGGTAGAAGGTCACTCCACGTGCCACGGCAGTTAGCCACACCGAGGTGTCCGGGGGAAGACCCGCCAGGCTGTGCCGTACAAGAGCGGAGCCCAGGCCCCTTCCCCTGGAGCGATCAATATGGTGGGAAGCGCCATGTGGCGGCAATGTGTGAGATTGGGGAAAGGAGATCACTTTTTCCTTTGGAGAAAGGTGGGGCGGCGGAGGAAGTGCACAACATGCAAGTCAGGATCACCCCTCATGTGTGTGCAAGCATGCGAAGCAAATCAACTTGTCGATGGCCGGACGAAGCATCGGATGTGGCCCTGCGGGTTGAGGAGCTGAAAACAATCACAGCGGGGAAATTAGCGATAAAAAACAATCCACAATGTTGTGGTGTTTGGGTGGTGGAGGTGGAGCAAATGGGTGACATGGTGGTCTATGCACCCCCTTTTCAACGCCATGGGGATATTCAGATGAAAAAATTAGGATTTAGGCGGGTTCCGTCACCTCCCGCGGGCCATACCCATTATCTCCTACCCTACCTCCCTATACCTTCCAAGCCGCAGCTCTGGCACCAGAGCCCTGACCACCTTTCACTCACTACTCACCGGTGCTCCGGAACCACCACAAGGCTCTGCAGCTTCACAGCCCTAGCCGCTCCGAAGCCATCACCATCGCTGCCTCCGTGAACACCCAAGGGAGTCGTCTGGACGATGCCAGCCACGGTTTCAGCGCCGCCACCGCTCTGGGTAGCGGCAGCAGCGGTGGCGGTGGCGAGGTTGACGCAGGCGATTGTGAAGCGACGGGCATCCAGGCCCAGGGGATTCATCCTGGCATGCAGGGACGCGTGCGTGTGTGTGCGTGGGGATCGGGCGGATCGGGTGAGTGAGAGCGGAAGGTTGGAATTAAGGCGATGGGGCATGTGGATAGGCGAGGGTGGTTGTGAGAGGGGGTAGGACGGGGGATGGAACAGGTACCTTGATAGCGAAGGTAAGGGTTCTCGTTTCAAAGGGTTCTGTAGGATGCTATGGGCCTGGCCTGGTACAGGGTGGATAGCTCATTTCATCATACACAGGGTGGTTGATGACTTTGGAAAGCACCTGCAAGGGGATATCTACCGTGTGCCGGGGACAAGGTACTATTTAGAATGGCCAGGGATGTACAATATGTTTCTTTCGATAATTCGATTCCGGTTCGAAGGCATATATCGCGCACGCTATCTATGTGTGTGCGATGTGAATGTTTAAGAGCCAAAAGAATACGCCGCTTCCAAGGAAAGGTGCGCAGTGCTAAGGCATTCACGAGGAGATGAAGTCCGTTGGCTGTTGAATCGCAAGAGGCGCAGTGTCGGTGTGGGACCTTGAGAATAGCGCATGTCTGCATATCTGTACGTGTCTGATTGGGTGTATGTAGGGTGATGCAGCGCAGCGTTCGAGGCTGCTGGAGTGTAGACACAACGACTTAAGACATGTTCGCTAGGGCGCTGCTCAGATCGTGTATCCTATTATTTTGAGTGTTTAAACCCTGCAGGATTGGAGTAAGGCCGTTGGAGGCTAGTAGGGGCGGCCGGTGATGTGCTCAGACGCGCTGCTTGGCATGGTGGCTTTAATCTAACTAAGCTGCACAAGCCCCTTTCAAAGTCCCTCGCTGCTGGAGCGGTACTGACCGTTGCCCATGGGTCGTTCCCTGTCTGCCAAGCTACCAACGCCACCACGGCCCGGAGGCGTCACATATTAAAGGCGCTTCGGCTGTCAGTTGTCGGCTAAACAGTATAGGCCGCGGCAACAGCGTCCGGGGTCGCGTAAGATGTTCACATAGGTGGGGCAACTGTCGCCGAAACGTCACTTCCTCGCACCCTGACGCACTTTTCCGCCAGCACGAGGCGCTGGATGGTAGGAAGGTCAGCCTCCGTCCCTGGCCGCAGCCAGAAGCCATCGGGGATCGCTACCATTTGACCCGCCCGCAGCTCTCGAGGTACGCGACTTTCCATCGAAGCGGCCAAGCCATTGCGAAAGAAGTTGCGTACACCAGGAGTACGCAATGAGGCACTTGGGGCAGGCTTCCCATGATTCTCTCCGATAAAGCGTGACCTTGTTGATAACTGGACTTTACTGCACATTTCACTGCAGCAAATTATGTGGTCCACACTGATGGACACGACACGTTTACGACACCAGCAAGTGGAAAACAAATTGTCGGTACGGCAATTTCCCCCGCGTTTGGTACACGCCGTAAGGTATGACTTACCGTGTAGAGTTTGGTCGGTTCGTATGGCGCGGTCTATATTGTAGCTAAATAGGAGCGTCATCAATTCTATTACTCACTGTGAAGGAAGCCGAAGTTGAGGGCTTTATTTGATCCTTGCCAATCAAAAGGTCGAACTCCATCTAGCAGCTGAGGCGTTCTATTTCCACGCGTCCAACTACTTAGGTATCCCCTTGACCAGGACCCGCTTTTGTAGTGGCTGCTTAAGGGCTGAGGTGAGTCTGGTCGCGAATCAGCGGCGCTAGTGGCGCGTCGGGGTGTGCACAGGATGGCTCTTTAGCATTATAGCGCGCTTCGCTCTCACGTACTGAACCAAAGCTTGGATAAGCTCGTGCTCGGCTGAGGGCCCGGCCAATAGTTCGAGCGACGGCTCTTGGAGACTTTGACTCAGGGGCGTCTGGAATTCGCCTTCGTTTTGCGCTTAGTGTCGCTTTCTTATTACAGCCTGCACACGCAAACGAGGCACTGCCTTGTGGCCATGGAAAAAGTGCGACAGGGCCGCGACCCTCACATACGGCGTTCACTTATTTTGCGTTGCAGCTATTGTTGAAAGCCTGGACGATGAATACGACAACTGTTGATGATGGTCTGTTTGGCGGTAGTGCTGGGGTTCTCGGCTCCTTGGGTTTCTCCTGCATGCCCAGTGGAAGCGCCTTAATTGCGGCGGGTGGAGCAATTGCACTCGGTTACACTATTTGGGAGCAAGCCAAATTTCGTTGGTACAGGATGCCCAAGAAAGGCGACGGTCTGCTCCCGGGTAAGCTTGACGTTCACGAACAGCTGTCGTTGAGTGACACTTGCAAGCGCGCCTTGGCTGAATACACGCCGAGCATTAAAGACCAGCTCTGGTTTTGTTGATGCTCTGTGCACACAGTGTGTGATGTTTTGGTCGGTTTACGGCCACGTTTCACTGCTAAACACGTTGATAAAGCTCGGTGTCCGGGTCCCAGGACTAGGGTATCCTTGCTCACAAGCTGTACCTAATTGTTGCTGCTGTCTTGTATCTTAACTCTAGTTGCGCACCTTCCCATACATCAACACCAGGTCACAGGCCTTACATCGACACCAGGTCACAGCCCGTTTCCCTTCATTTCCCCCCACCTCCACAACTCCCGGCCGTTGCCATGAATTATTTACACGTGCATCTCATTGTCCTCGTAGGTCCCGGCACTGTGACGCCCATCCTGGGCGGCATTGTGGAGATGGTTAAGGACCCTTTTGCCTTCTGGGAGCGCCAGCGTCTGTACAGCTTCCCGGGCATGTCATGGAATAGCATCTGCGGCATCTTCACAGTCTTTGTGACCGATGCCGCGCTTTCCCGTTACGTGTTCAGCCATAACTCGGAGGATTCGCTGCTGCTGTGCCTGCACCCCAATGGTGAGATGGCGATCTTGGAGGCGGGGCCGGCTGTGTGCGCTGTGGAGGGCCGCACCGGACGCACACAGTTGGCGACTAAGAGTGCGGAGGGGCCCTAGGTGTGATACTATGGAAAGGTCACCCTTTCCCGTTCCATTTGTGCTTTGTCCTGATCTGCAGCCGAGTGGATTCTGGGCAAGACCAACATCGCCTTCATGAGCGGTCCACAGCACAAGGCCCTGCGCAAGAGCTTCCTGGCTCTCTTCACTCGCAAGGCGCTTGGGCTGTACGTGCTCAAGCAGGATGCCATTATCCGACAGAACTTCGATGAGTGGATGTCGGTAAGCCTTACTTCCCGCCCACCCGCAATATGGAGGTAAAAGCGGATGGGCTATGGCCTATGCCCTAAATTGACAATCTGGGTCGGAGGTCAGAAACGGAAGCCTGGGCTTGTGGATCTGATTGAATGCAAGACAGCTCTGTGGCTGTCATTGTCGGAGACTGCGCATGGGGAGGTTTCGGAGGAAAAGGATGGGGTGGAGCTATGAGCCTCGACTGTGGCTTCTTGACTGGCCGTATTAAACCCGGCAGCCCTCCCCGCTTCGCCATTCACCAGCGCAATCTCACTCTGGTCCTCAGGATCCCTCAGGATTAGTTCATGTTCCCTTGTCCTTCCGCCTTTCGCCACTACTTCCTCCTCCTGCCTCTTCCGCCTCTGTAGATGCCTGGCCCGCTGGAGGTCCGGCCCCTAATTCGCGACCTGAACGCCTTCACCAGCCAGATGGTGTTCGTGGGGCCCTACCTGGATGACCCCCAGGTGCGGTGAGGAGCGTTGGGAGAGGAGGCGAAGAGGGGGCGAGGGAATGCAGCGCGCGAAGCTGAACTTGAGGCTCACTGCATATCCCTCTGCCACTGCCAGTCCATTGCTTTTCCCTCCTGGGTCGCTTGGACTTACGAGGTCGGCCACACGCAACGTGGTGTTTTTCAATATGGTCTTGTCTCTTGACTCCACAGGAGCGCGAGCAGTTCTCCGCGGCCTATCGCGCCATGACGGACGGCTTCCTGACCTTCCCGCTGCTGCTACCGGGCACGGGTGTGTGGAAGGGCCGTCAGGGCCGCAAGTTTGTTGTCAAGGTGGGGCGGTGGGAGGCATGCGCACACGCCGGGATGCTTACGTTACCTGACCCTGGGTCCAGTCGCGGTTTTGTTTATTGCGTGCTATCGCCATTACTTGAGCATCAATGCATGAATGTTGATTTCTCAGAAGAGTTGTGGGTTCTGGGTAATGGTGACGAGGAGTCCTCTGGGGCTGCGATTGCAACCTTTTGAGGAGGTGGGTTAAAGGGATTTGCTGCCGGAAGGGGACGGATGAGCTGCTAAGCTGGGTGCGCGTGCTGTCCGCCCTAACATTGGCACTGGTCGTCCGGTGCTCAGCAGTCCATTTGCACGGTCCCTCGCAGGTACTGACCAAGGCGGCTGCTCGCAGCAAGGTCCGCATGGCTGCCGGCCAGGAGCCTGAGTGCCTTCTGGACTTCTGGACCAAGCAGGTGGGAGTTGGTTTCTGTTTTCATCGCGTAGATCGTCCTCCACCCAGGAGGAGCCCGCCGTTACTGCACGTCGCTGCACGCCCTCCGCCACCGTCCTACCACTCACCGCGCACCCAATGGCGCTGCCGCCCTCGCAGATTCTCTCGGACATGAAGGATGCTGCGGATGCGGGCGCCGAGCCGCCCTTCTACCACGAGGACCGCAAGATTGCGGAGACGGTGATGGACTTCCTTTTCGCCTCGCAGGACGCCTCCACGGCCTCCCTGGTGTGGACCATCACCCTCATGGCCGAGCACCCGGACATCCTGGCGCGGGTGGGTGGATGGATGAACATGTAGATGAAATACGGTGAAAATAATTTTACATGCGGTGTCTATGTATATAATGACATGTACCCTTTAATTCTGGATGTCAATGATCCATGCCTTGAAACAAATTGGCGTCTGTTTCATCCCCGTCATCGTGTGCCATTCAGGTTCGTGAGGAGCAGGCCCGGCTGCGTCCCAACCTTGACGCTCCGGTGACTGGGGATGTTCTCAATGAGATGACCTTCACCCGGCAGGTGGTCAAGGAGATCTTGCGCTACCGTCCGCCGGCACCGATGGTGCCCCAGGTGCGCACGTCTCCGTGCATGTGTTTGCCGGTCGTTGCCCTTTCCAAAGCTCTTCCTGCAGCAAAGACTGCTTCCGATTCTCCAGCTTCCCCCCTCTGTGCAAATGCTGCTGCGTCACTGTTGCTGCCCTATTCAATGCAACCCTTGTCCTATGTTCACCTCCCCTTGCAGCGTGCCCAAGCGCCCTTCAAGCTGACAGAGACGTACACGGCCCCGAAGGGAACCCTCATCATCCCGTCGCTCGTCAGCGCCAGCCTGCAGGTGGGTTAGTGTTGCGATATGCAATTGGTTGTAGCCCTCAGCTCCTCGCGCATCTTTCTATCAGCCTCCACCCGCCAGTGCTGCAGCCGTAGCTGCAGTACTGCACGGTTACAGTGGACTGTGTTGCCCACGCCCAACGCACAGTCCTCCCGACAAAGGTCCTGTCCTGCTGCGTGGCCTTACCTTAGCCCTGTTCCTCCCTTCAATGTCTTGAACAGGGCTACGCGAACCCGGAGAAGTTCGATCCGGATCGCTTCGGACCCGAGCGCCAGGAGGACATCAAGTATGCGTCCAACTTTTTGGTGTTCGGCCACGGCCCGCACTATTGCGTTGGCAAGGAGGTGAGTGCGCAGCTGGTTGGGTTGAGGGTTAGCTCGGGAGTTTGAAACAGGGCAAAGTTTGGCTTATTGCTGACCTAAGCACAGCCCATCGTGCTAAGCTTGCTGTGCTTAAGTTTCCACACAACTGTTCCCAATGTCAAGTCTGCTGCCGTTGCGTTGGCTCCTGCAGTATGCCATCAACCACTTGACGGTGTTCCTGGCGCTGCTCTCCACCTCCTTGGACTTCAACCGGATCCGCTCAAACATTTCGGACGAGATTAAGTACCTGCCCACTCTGTACCCTGGGGACAGCGTCTTCGAGATGCGCTGGCGCGCCAAGAAGTGATAAGAGACCGATGTTTGCACCGTGGGTTCACATCGGTCGGTATCGAACATGAAATTGTCGGCCGGTCAGTCGATATACCCGTTCTGCAGGAGGGGGCTACCGGGCCTTGCACCACACCTTGCAACTGTGGAGCCCCGCTCGCGGATCCCTTGACTAGATGCGACCTAGAGATTATGTACCGGTCGGGGAAAGCGAACTGTATCTTCTGATTGCTGTTGTTGTTGCTCCTGTCGTGTGGTCGTTCTCATCCTCGTTCGAGGCGTTGATGTTTGTTTTTGTTGCGCGTGACGCCGTTCTGTTTTGATGGCAGAAGATGCGTTTTAGAAGAATGAACGATGAGGAGGAGTGTTTATCGCGGGTGTTCGCTGTCCATCTTGTTGCACCTCATTGGCACCGGTCAGTTGCCACCGGTCGGTCTCTAGAGTTGGCGATCTTCTTAGGGTTGGCCCCGGAACTCATACATGATGCTATTCATGTTGACACATTTCCTGTTGGCGGAACGAATTAAGCACAGTAAGGTCTGTGTGCTCTGTACCCGCGTCGGCTAATGTGTTTCCGTCGGTTAGTGTATCAGTGTGGCTGGGCCGGATGCCGGGAGGAGGGTCATGTCGCGGAAGAGGGGAGCAGTTGAAGGCTTCTGTACAGCTCTTGCGGCAGTTGTTCAATTATTGCTGCTGCATATAAGGAAGGTGTCGAGGCATGTGCGGCGAGTCGGCTAGAGGCTTATCCTTTCCTGTCGTGGCCGTGGTCGTGTTTGCGGTGGCCATGCCCATAGGCCAACCATAGTGGTGATGGTAATGGTGCTATCTTAACAGATATTTTGGCGTTTGCATCATTTGCTAGCATCCCTCGTATCGTCGTTTCATCCATTACCTCCCGCGCGAACTGCTACGTCTCACTCGTTGTGTCGCCAGGTTGTTATGGTTAAGCGCCTGAGGCCGCCCACCCCTCGCCCGCACGTGCATGTCTCCTGCCGGAGTATTGGGCCATTGGAGGGTCTGTGGCGCGCGCTGTTGTAGCAGTAGGCGCAACTGGATTGGGTCACTCTGGAGTCACGTGTCTTGGAGCCTTTCTCGGCAATCTCCCGTTGCCGGCTTGGTGATGGTACATACACGGTGAATGATTGCTTTGCCGTTGCATGGACGGAGAAAAACTATGTTCCAGGTCAGGTCATGGAAGCCGTGCCTTGAATTTTGGGGTAGGGGAAGCGAGGGAAAAGAGCCGTGAGGAGGATTCGGTGACTTGATGGACCGATCGTGTTCTTTATTTATATCTTTTTTCAGTCGCCCTGTCAGTGCCTCGTCTTGCATTTGGCTTTTGTAGTGTTGTGGCTCCGAGGGTGTCATGGCCACACAGGCGACAATGCCCAACATTTTTATTGACACATACACCCCTCTCATTTGCATCGCGTTGCGGGTGTAGTACGGCAGTAGGGCTTTCCACATTGAACAATCACGCAATCAGCACAACGAGAAGGATTTGAGCACTGGTTGGGAAGGAACGCGCGCAACAAGCAAAAGGGGCTTGATCTGGATAGGTGCTGTTGACAAGATGCGGACTACTACAGAGGGCTACGGTATGGTTGGATGGGTTTTGCTTGTACCGCTTAGGGATCGGAGTGTGGGAAGAGGTAGGTACAACTACGGATTGTTACTGCGCCGCAGGCCTCGCGCTCGCAGCGGGCGTTTCATAATTTTGCCTGGATTGGTGTACGGTTGTACGTGCTTGACTTGTTGGTTGGTAGTCACGTACCAGTACAAAGCGTATTTGTTGGCTTCACCTTAAATCGTCACACATACGATTGTGTATATCCTGTTCATTTAGAGTGAAATCGCATTGCTTATTAAATACCATCGTCTGTAAGCCGCGACAATGCGTATCCAGCGTCTTGCGTATCCAGCAAGTCTGTTTCCGGGAGAGCGAAACGTAGGCATTCACGTTACTACGGCAGGGTTAAAGAGGAAGGAAACGGCGTAGTTTACCCTACTTACCTTCTTAAACACCGTGCTGCATTGTGCGAAATGTAGCTATTGTCTCCTATTCCTTCGCTCTTTCATTGTTACCACGCGTTGATTATTCATGTCGACGCTTCTTTACAAATAGCTCCAAACCCTCTGAGACTTCTCCCACTCAGTGACAAGTGTAAGTCTGTACATAAACATACATCTTTAAATCGTTTATATCAATTAGCTTCCCATCAACCAGCTATCCACTCAACCCTATCTAGCACGTTTCCTCCGATCGCTAGCTGCAATTCTCTCATCTGCCGTGTCATCCCCACCACAGCCGTTCCATCTTTTCCTTCTCCTCGCAGGCTACCGCCTCTCAGATGGGGCGTACGCAATCTCCGGTTCCCTACATATGCACATGCACAGACTTCTCCCCTCCCTCCCATCCGATCTCTCCCTCCCTCTCGTCCTCATTTCCCTCGCTTCCCATAGTCCCTCAGGTGAGCTGCTGCGCCGCGCTCTCCACCACGTAGGTGATGGCCCCCACCGGGATACCCTATCGCGCAGAGACGGGAAGGAGAGCGGGAATCTGGTCTAGTTTTCAATTAAAGCTTCCAGGAAATGCACATGCACACGTATGTGACCCCAGTTCGGAGTGAATAAAGTGGGAAAGCGGGCAAAGCCAGAAGGAACTGCACGTCACGGGACTCGGCAAAGCCCAAACCCTAAGACGCCCGGTGACTCAGGCGCGACACGGAGTGACAGAGGGGCGAGAGATGGATCTAATACTACAGTGGGCGGGAGGTGGGAGGAAGGGATTACGGGTAGGGAGTGCGCGCGGAAGAGGCGTGGTAGTCACACCCTTGCAGGCGAGATGACAGTCCCTAACGGACATGAGGACGTACGGATGCAGTTGAATGTACGGATGCAGTTGCATGTACGGATGCAGTTGCATGTACGGATGCAGTTGCATGTACGGATGCAGTTGCATGTACACTTGAGGAATGATAGGGGGAGGTGGAGGAAGGGTCCCCACCTTCACGGCAGTTATACCCAGCTGGCTGGCGCCCTGCTTGATTAATCCAGCCAGGTACGGAAAGCCCTGCAGTACGCGACCGGCGAGCAACGGCGTGTGAGGCGAAACGGAGGAGGTTAGTCGTCCTCTTCACCAGCGAGAGACCTCCGAATTCCTGGTATGGACACCCTCGGGGCATGAGCAGAGAACTGTTCAGACAGGCGCGACACACGTACATACATACATACACACGTACGCACGTTCACGGAACCGGAACCTTTCACCTCAACAAGATGGAACTCTCTCATTGCCGCCCTCTTGTTGGACGTCGACGTCGAGGACACCAGCTGCTGTGTACACACTTGCGTCACTACACGCGATCCACCACAACCCACCATGACGACGAAGAGCCCTTCACCTGACGACGTTATCTTCCCCAGCTCCCCCCCCCCCGGCGACCCCACTCTCTCTGCTCCGTGTGGTGTGTGTGTGTGTCTCCATGTTTCCGTCATGTCAAAGAACCAAACCACCCAACCCCCCACGCGCACTCGCCCCCAATCTAAGTCCCCATCAGCATCCCCTTAGCAGAACAGGACAGGGCAGGGCAGGGCAGGCTACCTACCAGCGCCTTGAGCAGCACCGCCAGACCGATCTTCAAGAAGAGGGAGTCCTTCCAGTCCTTGTGGTGGCCCACCAGGCCCCGACAGCAGTGCAGGAACTATCCGGGGAACGGGCGGGCGGGCGGGAGGGAGGGAGGTAGAAGGGGAGGGAAAGGGAGGGAGGGGGACCGGCGTAGCCAGCGCAGTGTGTGCGGCAAATGATGGTTGGAAGGACAGACAGCAGGGCCGGGATAAACCAGATCGCGAAAAGTATGATTAGGGGGAGGGGTGGAATGGATAAGTGGTGTGATCTGGGGGAAATGCGGAGCGGGGAGGGGTGGACGGCTGGGGAGCTGCAGGGATATTGCAGGAGGCAGCAGAAAGGTAATCCGTTCCTGCAGCCACTACATTAATGAAATGCTGCTGGCCCTCACAGGCTCCCATCACTGTACGGATATCGTATTGCGTGTATACGCCAGCCTGTGAGATCGGACGGAACAATAGTACCTCATGAAACTCGAAGCGTCGGTTGGCATTCGTGTCGTACTTATCGATTAGTTGGTTGACCTGTACACCATAACATACCAAGTGCGATTGGCCCAGGGTTAGTCCGGCGTATTCAAATTCCACTCATGCACCAGCAATTCGGACGGACTATTAGGCGTGTGGGTTCCAGAGTAGGCGGTGGTTGTGATCTAGATTACTTGTCCGGGCGTCCAATCCCACCACCCACTTCAACGAGGGGGAATAAAGGCCCCAATAAACAGCACCCAACGCAGACCTTTCACGACTTCAAGAAAGACTTATCTTCAGCTATTGAGGCAGCGCACCTCTTCGATAGAAGGAACTCGTACATGGTACGGCAACTTGCGGTTAATCAAATCATACAATTTCAGAAGGCCAATGTAAATTTCCTTGTTGTCAAGACTGCAGGTATAGGTTGGGTTACAAAGCAAAGACGGTGAGCAGAGGCTACTAGTGCATGCACGGTCATGAGGCGGAAAATTTGACGGCGCATATAACCGGTAGCCATTGTTACTACATGAAACTACAGAAGGAGATTGTGTTGCATAATCATGGCATCATCTCGTTTTCCTCAGTCCAGCCGGGCGCGAGCGCGCCACTCGATGATGGACGATGGGCTTTCGACGACAGGCGAGTCACAGTCTCAAGTGTAATCGACAGCACCATAGACGGTATCTATGACGAAGTCAATATGCAGAACAAGGACTGCAGCTGGAGGGAAGGGCTTATTAACAAAAGCTCCGACAGCAACACTCACGCGCCATCGCGGTCGACGTCGCACTCATTGAACGCCCTCCGGCATTGCTTCTCAAACCATTTGCTTTCCACGATGTTAATTCCCAGCCTTGGAGGGAGGCCAGGGATGCTAATGTCCTTGCCGAAAATTCTAACCATGGCGCCACTCTATATACGAGTTAAAGTTATGGGTTTCTATTTTCAGTACGAAGGTACTAAGTAAATGCTTAAAGAACATTATCATTGAGGTTCGTCTCTTGGGTGTAGGAAATGGATGTTGTACAGCAGATTACGGAAGAACAAAACCCTTCGCCAATTTTTGTGATGTCATGCAAGTCAATGACCAGCCTGGTCCTGCGAAAGCCATTTTCAAGATGTTTCGTCTGCGCTGTGAGAGAACAGCATCTTTAATCATGCGTCGTTTTGATCACGCGTGTCTTTGGTATCTACCCGCAATTGCTTCTTGGATTGTTATAACCACGTCGACAACGTGAATAGCAACGAACTAGCAACATGAGCACCAGGAAATAGTGGAGGAAAAGGAGGAAGGCAAGGAGGGGGGCACCAAAAAAAACGTCAAGAAGACGTGATGCGTGGGGACGCCGATGATGATGGTTGTCATAAAAGTGGTATGTGTGTATATGTGTATGCGTGTATGTGTCTGCGACTGTGTGTGTGATGCGGACGGCGAGCGAAGAAGAATACACCAGGGATGCAATGGGTCCTTTTAGGTGCTATCATTCCGCGCCCACGAACGCGCCGGTCAAGGCGTCGGCCCAGCGCCCAGAGGCGAATGCAACATCACACAGCTCCCGCAATCAGATTAGCTCCCCGATGAACCTAACATGCAATCCAGACTCCATCACTGCAGCCAGTCAGCCGCAGTCAGGCGAGCGCTGTCCATACCATTTTTCGAGCACCCGCGATGGCTTTGTCGATCCTACCGAGTCCTACTCAACAACTGGACTGTAATGCCAGGTGCGCGACATGTGAGCGATTTTTAGCATAAAAAGCTGTTATTCTGCATCATCCTGTATTATTCTGTATTCAAATCAATTCAATTCAAAATGTCATCATTTATGTTATCGCCATAGCAGCAAAGTCAGAAAGGTCGGCCAGGCGTACGGCTAAAGATCCGCGGAGTCCGGCCGGACTTTGTCAATAGCAGTGGCCGAAGTGCAAGCTGCAACAATTTGTAACAGAGGGATAGAATTTTTGAATAATACCTTGATTATTAGCTACATCGCGTCTTGGTCGTGGTTATACAGACGACCTGTGGATCCTGCTCTCATCCCTGGTAATCAGCGGTAACATCAAAATAAAACATAACTTCGGTGTTCCGGCTTAAGTTGGTGTGATTCGACGGTGAGTGGAAAGTCCGTTTGATCTCGCCACATGTAGGCTGTGGCTTGCTGAATCATCCGCTCTCTCCACAGCTAAGTTGTTGAGTCAGATGATTGTTGCACGTGAAAAATATGCAGTGAAGGCGGCAGAATCGGCAGCGGCGACATCAAAGGTGGTCACAGTAGAGGCAGAGACAGCAGTAGTGTAGCGGCGGCGGCAATGGCGATGGCGCCAGGGTTCTTGGGTTGGGTGAAGGGTTCACCTGGCAAGAGGCTTACAAGCCCAGGGACTGCGGAGTCGGTGGTGATGCTATTTTCCCTAGGCAGTGTTAATGCACGCAGCGTGCCTTGTGCAGTAGTGTCGTGCTGTAGTGTCATGCCTTGCGCTTTACAACAGGCGATTTTCCCAACCCGGGTGGATATCCTCACCGCGATGCACTGCTAATATTGTGCAGGTGAAAATGCCCATGTCAGCCAGGGTGACGTCAAAGCCAGGGTGACGTCATAGCACAACTCCGCGCCTGAAATGATGCCCTTATCGAAGAGGTCCGGGCGTTAAGGGCACTGGTGTTCTTCGCGAATCAAGGGCACGACATGCGCAGGTTTCTGACCCCTGGCCGCACCCCCGGCACTAGCCAGGTTCCTCTCGGAAGTCTGGGAGACCCGGCACCCAGCTCGAAGGTGCTTCGTGCTCAAGCGGGCGAGGGAGGACGATGATGGCCCACCACGGCACTAAAACCGATCTACCGTCCATGGACCCCCCGGTTTTTATGGACACCCCCGTACTTGTGTGCGGGACTTGTAAGTTGTAACTTGCTAGATTCGCGCAGCATCGATGCTGCGCATCGGTATCCAGGTAGGGATGCAGTCATGTAGGGTTAGGGGGGAAATGTAGGTTGCATTTGTGTGTGGTGAGAAAAGGGAGATTTGCAGGATCATTTTCTGCTGGTAAGATGTGGGTATGGACTAGGGAACAGCAGGTCGTTGGTTTCGGTTGGTTTTTAGTTATGTATGTTCAATAAAAGGGTTCCAGCTGATTGGAGCGGCCTTTCAGAGGTGTGCATTGCAGGAGGGAGTACAGCTTCCGGAGGGACTGGTGCTGCATGTACTGCAGTGGCGCGGCAGGAATTGGATAGGATCATAGGGGATGTGGTGCGCAGTACTGGTGGTATTCACATCGCAGGACACCATCTGTGTGCTAATTAAGTGCTTTGGTCTGGTTTGTAACTCGCTGTATGTGTAAAACCTAAGACATCATAGTGCTGTATTTGTCGGTCTGCTTGTTCAGCGTTGCCTTGGCCTCGGACTGGACAAGGCTGCAGCCCCACGGCTGTCATGGTGTGGAACTTGTAACTTGTAACGGGCACGATGTTTGCGCACTGCTCGCCTGCTTTCCTCCACAGTTTTGACTCCCAGAGACTCCGAGGACTCCCCTTCCTCTGAGGACTCAGAGGCCCGTCCGGATCCTCCCCCCCCTGTCGCTAAAATGTCGTGACACCCCCCCCCCCCCGGGGCACTGAGGTCTCCATCACACCGAGCACCACCACGCAAACACTAATGCAGACGCTAACGCTGTGATGCAGAACAAACATTAGCTATGCTTGCTTCTTGGATTGTTATAACCACGTCGACGGCGTGAATAGCAACGAACTAGCAGCATGAGGAGCAGCAGCACAGGAGGAGGAGGAAGGCAAGGAGGGGGCCACCATGTCAGGAGGAAGAGGAAGGCAAGGAGGGGGCCACCATGTCAGGAGGAAGAGGAAGGCAAGGAGGGGGCCACCATGTCAGGAGGAAGAGGAAGGCAAGGAGGGGGCCACCATGTCAGGCCGATTCGGCGAAGCGGGTTGGCGAAGCGACTCGAGGATCCATCTCTTTTTGAAAGTGTGTCGAAAGCGTCGAAATGGGCTCTGGAGCGAGCCACACATGTCTGTCATATGACCATGTGGTGTATCTGCCCTGCCCTGCATTCTCAATCCATTCATGCCTTTCATTTCATCTTTACCAGCCTTTCATTTCCTCTTCAGCTCCTGTCTCGTGATGAATTATTGCTAATAGTTGGGCTGAGACTCCAGACCTGCTGAGCCGATTTTTGAGGGATACCATATTTGTCCTCTCCTCATCAATATTAGCAGAAATCACTGTGCAAGCTGCAACTGTCGTTCCATGCATGCACGGCGTTTCATACGGCGTTTCATACGGCGTCGTACGGCAAAACCTGCGTGCCTCTAAATAATCCCCTAAGGATACGATATGCAGGACAGAGGCGGCGACAACAGAAAACACACCGGATGGTCGCACCCAGAGCAATCTCCCCCCTCTCTCCCCCCCAACACAACACAACACACGTGCAAGTGAACCCCAGCGGCCCCCCCCCCAAAAAGGCAATTTGCACCGAAGCTTCGAATTGTTCTCATGAGTCGGCATGGCATATGGATCGGCCCCCCCACCCCCGAGGAAAAAGTAGTAGTTCCCTCAGTGTAGTGAGCTCAGAAAACTTTAAGCTCAAGTTAGTTTATGAGGCTCTGAGAAGGGTTGGCCCAGAGGAAACAAAGAGTGGAACAGACGAACCACACGCCAGTTAGCGGCGTGCACAATCCCCCTCCTCCTCCCTCCGCCTTCGACCTCGTGCTCCTTCCAGCCCCCCCCCCTTCCATTCTTCCGGTCGCACCTCCGAGGCCAACTCCCGTCACAGCATCTCATGAAGGACGCGGGGAGCAACTTAGTGCAGAAAAAAACCGAGACCCAGTTCGAACACAAAAAGAATTCACCCACCAGTAACAATCGCAAAAAAAGGGAAACAAGCTTCGAAAGCTTCAATAATCTCTTCACCACCTCTTCACCACCTCTTCACCACTGTATGGTATAAACAGACAAGGTAAATGCTCTCTTGGCATTTATTCCCCAAAAAATAGCTAAGTGCTGAACAACTCTGCCGCAGCCGCATTAGTGTACAGTCAACAAACAACGGCCCTCACACCAACCAACAACCACCAGAACCGTCATGTGGAGGTCCCGTGTACTGGTACGGCAAGTCTCCACAGCCATCAAAAGTGCCCACATCATCACATCCCAGCCGTACGTTCCCAACCCCAACCCATCCCAACCCCATGTCGGGGTTTTTGGCCCCTCCACGCCGGGTGTCCAAAACACACACACATACACGCACACACGCACGCATGCCACACCGTCCAGGCCGAGTTGTGCATAAATCCCTTCAAAATGCACAGGCGGCGGCGGCGGCGGAGAGGGAGGAAGAAAAGGACACAGCAAAAGGCAAAATCTTAAAAATAGTCCCCCTTCCCCCCTTCCCCACGTCACAGAAAACCCACTTGAACCGAACCTTTTCCTCCCAGTCCCCCGCGAACACAGGACCGCGTCTCGCGTGGACTCACGTACACATTCACACATGCATACATACATATATACAAAAACACGTGTGTGGGGGAAAACCGCGCGCCCCGACCCCCAACCGTCGCCTTCAGGTTCTTTATTGCCGTACGTGGGCTTCCCTTGCCCCTTAGTGCATATTTCGCGACCTCGCTGCCGCCGCAAATGCCGTACGACCCGAGAGGGGGCCCAGCGCGGATTACGGCCGACCAACCGACCAACCAACCAACCAACTAACCGCTGCATGCAAGCGGCCACAACGCCACATCTTCTTTGCCACGTCCCGTACGGCCCCCCCCCCCGGATGAAAGCCCCTCCGGTACTCAGGCGGTACATGCTCGTACACACGCCGTACACAGTGGAAGCCGTCAGACAGTCCGGGGGTTGTTTGTGGCGGCTGCAGCGGCGTCAGCAGCACGTTCTCTCTCACGCCGCTGCGAGTGCCGCGGCTCCCCGGCTGTGTGGCGGCACAATCTGGGAATGCTTGACAATCAAATCGGGGTGGGCTCGCGACCTGAGCTTTGCGACGGCCGCATCCGTGACCCTGGTGTTGCTGACCGAGAGGTATCTGAGCCAGGGCAGTGCGGCCACGTCCCGCAGGCAGGCGGAGGTAATGTTGGTGTGGTTGAGGGAGAGCTCCTGGGGGGGGTGGAGGGGAGGGGAGGGTTCGGGGGGGAGAGGGCGCAGGGGTGGAAGGGGGGGGAAAGACGAACCACACACGATTGAAGCTGCTGCCAGGGCAAGAGAGTAGCAAACGTGAAAACTGACCGAAAGGCGTCCGTGGCGACTGTGACGACTGTGACCTCGGGATGACGAAGTGACGTAGATGTCGGAAATCCTACCTACCTAAGCCGCCAGAAATTAAAAAGCTGAATAGTATAGCCAATCCGTAAAGAAGTAGGTGTAGAAAAGTAGTAGTGAAGGCGGCGAGTAAAATAGTGCTGTCGTAAAGGTGGCCTAAAGTTGCTGGCCTGGAGAAAAAGGCTGATTTGCTGATACTGAAAGGCTGTCGGTATGCAAGTGCTCCTTCCAACCCCCAAAAAAAACTAAAACGCGCGACCGACCCGACCGACCCGACTATTCTATTCCGGCTAGCCTACCGACGCCAACGCGATATACCAAAGAAGCTCGAACCACCCTTTGGACTCACCTGGCCAGGCCGCAGAAGTAGTGGCAAAAGGCACATGCAAAAACAAAAGGGTAGCAAAGAGGTGAGCCGGGTGCGATAAAGGACAAGGAGACATGCGAATGCTGCTGAGGAAAAAAATAGTAGCTGGCTGGCTGATTTGAAATTTTGACTGAGAAGGGAAAATAAAGGAAATGGAAGCGCTTAAGAAAGGAAAAACAAGCGAAGTGGAAGGGGGGGGGAGGGGGAGACGAACCGCGAACGAGTGAAGCGACAGGGGGCAGGGAGGGCGATATGGGGGGGTTACGACGAACCACTGGCGGATGGAGCAGATAGGGGGGTCGGGGAGGGTTGGGGAAAAGCCGCGGGCGGTACACACCGCGTGCGGTGCATGACAGCTTCTTGAATGGGAATCGGGAAAGCTCCGAATAAAAGGTAGGTACGGGATCTACCCCGTCTCCGCCACACATGAGCACACACGCGGCGAAACACACACGGCATCAGATTCCGTTTTCCATTTCCCGCTCTCCCGCCCTCATCCCCCCGCCACCGCCCCCACCGCACCTGCAGGTCACTCAGGCTGGCCGCCAGGCTCTGCGCCCCGGCATCCCCCAGTCGCGCGTTCTGAGACAGGTTGAGGCATGTGAGACTTGTCAGACGAGCCAGGTGTACGGCACCCGCGTCTGCGCGAGCCGGGGGAGGGGGAGGGGGAGGGTGTGTGGCGGGGAGGTCGGTGCCATGATGTATTGTGTGTATAAGTGATGTACGGCAGTGGGAATGAGAGGGGGTGCATCTTAGATCGGTAGGTAGGTGGGCGGCCGCCGAGTGGCGACCTGGAGTAGGAGGCCGAGGGGGGGCGAGGGGGAGGGGGAGAAGTTGGGGGAGAGAGGTTCAGCAATCAGTGACCCACTCCGTGCCATTAAACACACGCACACACGCACACACCCGCCAGTACCTTACCCCTCTCCGCCCCCCAACACACACACACACACACAGGCTCAGTCGGCAATGAAGTCAGTCGTCCCTCCCCCCTCACCCTCGCCCTCCCAGCCACCTCCCCTCCCCTTCCCCTCACCCGTCAGCAGCCCCCCGCAGCACTCCAAGCTCCGCAGGTTTCCCCCCAGGTGGCCGCTGCCCCCCAGCAGCCGGGCGCCCGCGTCCGTGATGCGGCAGCTGAAGAGGTCCAACCCCGTCAGGGCGGATAGACCCGTCACGTGGCGGAGGCACGCATCGGTCAGGGTGCCTGCAGGGCGAGGAGAGGGGGTGAGGAGGGGGAGGGGGTGA